ACTTCGACAGTCGCAGTGCTCGGCTCGTCAGTGGGCAGGACATGGACCTGAAAGATGGTCAGGGGTTGCGTTCCATGCCTGCATGCATCCAAAGACTCGCGCATCGAGCGGTAATCAATGCTGCAGACGCGGAGAGGAGCGTCCGAGCTGAGAGGAGGGGCGTGGACAAGGTCAGAATAATGTTCGACGGTTACTTTATTCTGAACAATGTCCGAAGAACAAACAACAGGAGGAGGTACATCAAGGAGGGAAAGAGAACTGACAACAGAAGAAGGGGTTTGGGAAGAGCGAAGGGGTTCGGGAGGAACAAGACAAGAAGGGGAAGACGAAGGTGGGAGCGTAGGAGAGGAGCTTAGATCAATCAAAGGAGTGGAATCATCAAGAAGGGGAGTGACATTGGAGGAAGTGGAGCAAGACGAAAGAGAAGTAGTGCATGGAGAGGGGTCGGAATCAACAGAAGGAGGGAGACAAAGAAGACCGCGAGACCAGACAATCTTGGGCTCGGCGGTGCGCAACCAAGGAAAGCCAAGGATAAGTGGTTGATGTGGAGACCTGATCACATCGAACCGAAGGCGTTGCGAGACGTCCCCGAGAATCACCTCGAGTGGAGCAGTCTCGCGGAGGATGGGGCCAGACGACAGCGGCTTACCATCCACGCCTTCCACTGCCAAGGGCGAAGCCTTGGAGCAGGTGGGGACAGAGTGTCGAGCAACAAAGTCCTCGTCGATAAAGTTGCCAGAGGCACCAGAATCGACAAGTCCTTCGCACGACAGAGAATCACCAGAAGGAAGACGAACAGCGACGGGAACAACCAACGAGCAACGACGAACAGACGAAACACAAGACTTTGGTTCGGTACCAGCTTCGGCACCAGGGTTGCGGCTAGCACAGACAGTTAACTTTGCCGAGGGTTGGCAGGACAGCTCAGGTATTTGCACCTGTGGATGAGGTGCAGTTCCCAGTGACACCAGAGGTGCCACGGGTACTATGCCAGAGCTGAGAGTGTCCGCCGGTCCAGAGGCAAGGCGAAGCTGTCCGCACATCACTGCTTCCCCAGTACTTACCAAAGGCACCTTACCAATGTCTTCACTTTCGGAAGGCGGTGGGCACGGCTCCGGTTCAAGGCCTTCACTTAGAACCGGGCCTGGTCGTTTCCCGAACTGAAGTCTTGCACTTCTCCATCTTCGTAAACGATGGTGCGGATGATCCTCGGGCCGGGAGGTCCAGGGGGCGGTCCGGTAGCTCTGGTAGATCCAAACTTGACGGGGCAGTTTCGTACCAAGTGGCCCTTCTTGCCACAGTACAGGCAGAGTCCAAAGCGGCGGCGGCGTTGTTTCTCCTCGGCGGTCAGGGGTCCAGAGACGGCAGAGTCCACTTGCATGGGCTCGGAAACAATGTAGGAGGGGTGCGGCGGAGCGAGGACGGGCGCGGGAGCGATGGCGGGAACGGCAGCGGAGGCGGAACCAAAGGCGAACTGGGAAGACCGGTAGCGGGCAGGCGTGCTTCGGCGCTCTTGACGGCGCTCGCGGATTCGTGCATCGAGCTCGTTACAAAGCTCGATGTACTCCTCCAGATCTCGTGGCAGAGGGCGAACTCGCGAAAGTTCGTCTCTGACATCATCCGACAAGCCAAGTCGGAAGAACGAGATCTTTGCACCGTCGTTCCAAGTCGTATCGGCGGCAATACGAAGGAACTCGGATGCATAGACTGCGCACGGGCGGTTGCCCTGAGACAGTGTGGTGATCACTGACTCGGCAGTCCTGGCCCGATCAGGGTCGTCAAACACTTTGGAAAAGCGTTCTAGGAAATCGCCAAAAGAGTTGAGTCGGGGATCACCCATCTCAAGCATCGGAGTCGCCCACTGGAGAGCCGGTCCAGTGAGCAGACTAATGACGAATCCGACCTTAATCGGGTCAGCAGGGAACCGGTGGGGCTGCATTCGTATATACAGTTTGCACTGATTTACGAATGCCCGGAACCCTTGCCGGTTACCGTCGTAACGGTCCGGCATCTGCACGCTGTACCCAGCGGCAGGAGCATCGCGAGCTGTCCGGAGCTCGGCGAGCTCGGCCTCCAAGGCACGGAGGCGGTCCACGAGGGCAGGATCCATGGCGGGACTGGGACTGGGACTGGGAAAAAAAAAAAAAGCGAGGAGGTTCAAGAACAGGAGAGCGAAGAGGGCTCAGACACAAGTGTGCTTGAGGTTCGGACAGGACTAGGAAAGGGGCGGGGCTAGGAGCGGAAGATACCAAGCAGGTGGTATCAGTAGAAGAGAGTTCGAACAAAGTGTAAGGAGTGAACAAGCGCAAGGACGAAGACCAAGTGCTTGGTATGAGCTTTATTAGCTTTTAGCCCCGAACACCAAAGAACAAGTTTTGTTCGAACTGGTGTTCAACATAGGCTCAGACATGCAGGGCTATTTATAGACCGGGAGAAGGTCGAGGGGCAAAAGTGGGCGAGAAGGGTGGAGCATCACAGAGAAGCGAGAAGGGGGTGCGAGAGTGGCTGGTGTGCAAGCGAGAGAGGCTTGGCACAGCCCGGGGACATGTGCCGAGCGGTGGGGGAGGCAGGAAACCAGTAGACGCGGGTGGCAACGGCGCGTGCTCATGCATGGGGGCAAACAAACACGTGGGGACTCATGATTGGTGCGGAGGGCGAGAGCATGCGGGACAATCTCATTGGTCCGTTGTGATGCTGGTCATCACAGGCAGGCATTGTGGCAACTGGTCGGGGAATACGTCCTTGTACTCGTCGAGCAGCTTGGTCACCACAGGCGGGGGACCGGGACCGGCTTGGTCGGTGTCGTCGACCTCACGCACGACACAGAGGAACGACGTGTCCTTCTTGATCAGCCTCTTGAATTGCATGGCTGAGAGGAGAGGTGGCATGTTGGGTGAGGCCATGCCCTGCAGGACAATGTCAGGGCCAACACGGACAGTGCGGCCTTTCCAGTCGACGACTGGAGTCGGCTCGGCACGAGCAAGCCAGCTCATGCCGAGGATGGCATCGAACTTGGTGTCGATCACTTGGAACAACAGGACAGGATGGTACTTGGGATGGAGGGCCACTCGCAGGACCACTTGGTGTGTGCACTGCTGCACACGATCGTCTGCAAGCGCCACACTCATCGGCGACTTCTTCTTGGTTGCATGTATGTTGAGCTCCTGGAGCAAGCGTCTGCTGACAAAGTTGCAGCTTGCTCCAGAGTCCACCATCATTCGGACGGTGTGACCTTGGACGGTGGCAGGGAGGTACAGCAGGGACTCTTCATGGTCCTCCTGCACAGCCTCCTGCACCATGACTTGACTTGGGGGAACGGGCGACACTTGGTCTTGGTTGGCTTCATCACGGCCACTCGGACATTTTGGATAGGGTTCGGCCATTGCGGGGGCCTGCGGCGTCAGCACGCCATTGCACACGACGTCCACGGCTTGCGGACACATGTCGGAAGCATCCGACACACACGACTTGACAGGGGTGAGGGCACAGGCGGTCCTGTCCCTCAAGGGTTCTTGATTTTCTTTTTTGTTTTGGTTTTCAATTTTGGTTTTCTCTTCACGTTCGTGGAGAGGCAGGCGGCTTGCGCCACCATGCACCTCTCGCACGACGCACAACACTTGGTTTGTTTCTCCTTCGGGGGAGGGGGCGAGGTGAACTTCCTCTGGAGACGCGTGGACTGCATTGAGCAATCCACGGCGTTGGTCTCCTACTAGGGCTCCAGAGCCACCTAGTAGGGTCGGCCGTTTCCCGACTTCATGGGGCACTCCTTGGCCTGGTGTCCCGGTCGGTGACAGAAGAAGCAGGAACCATGGCGGAGGTCCTCCTGCTTCTGTCTGTCCTTGGGGGAGACAGTGGCAGCTTGCTGGAACCGGGAGCGGGGAGGGCCACGAGCCTCCATGGCGTTGACGTCAACGTCCATGGGCTCAGGCATGGGTCTTGCGGGCGGGGCCGGGCGAGGCGGACGGGCTGGGACGTGATGAGACCGATGGCCGCCTGCCAGCTGCGGGTAGAACTGGCGGCCATGGTACTGGACGTTGTCGAGGTTCTCGGCAACGTCCATCATCACGTCCAGGGACTTGCGGGCATCAGGGTTGCTGGCGATGTACTCTCTGATCTTGGGCTTGAGGCCCTTCTGGAAGAGGTACATCGCATCAGCAGAGCCCAGCTCCTCAATCTGGGAGGAGAGGTCTTCAAACTCCTCGATGTAGCGGGTCACAGAACCACGCTGCACGAGAGAGTATAGCTTGTCACGGGCAATGAGTTCAGCATTGGGGCTGCCGAAGCGGCGACGGAGGCGGTCCTTGAAGTCGTCAAACACACCTTCGCTCTGCTCGTCGAACCCTTGGCGGCGGTACCAACGGTACGCCTGGTCCTTTAAGCAGAGCTTGGCGGCGACGATGTGGTGGGTGGGGGCGACTTGGGCAGCATCGAGGTAGTCCTCGAGTTGCTGCAGCCAGTCCTCCACCGAGGAGGAGCGGCTCTTCCCAGTAAACACTGGGGCACGGAAGGTCTTGAGGAAGGCTTCCGGAAGTGGGCGGGGGTTGCTCATGGCAGGGGCAGGCTCCAGGGACAGAGAGGAGAGTCGGTCGGCAAGAGAGGCGGGATCCAGCTTGAGGATCTAGAAAGAGGACAAACAGGACGAAAACAAGACGAGGATTTCCGATGCTACCATGTAACGTCCACTACTGGGACGTTGGGGCAAGACGGGGAGGGAGGGGGTACAAGACAAGACAGGACGGGGCAGAACAGGGCGGTGCTAGGCTACTCTAGCGGACGGGTGAGCTCGGGGAGCACTTACGTTTATTCACGATAAAACCGAACTCCAGACAAACGGGGGGGAACGGGGGCAACCCGCAGGTATACCCTGCGGTGGCCTGCCTGCGGTGCGTGAAAACGCAAAGCGCAGCACAGGTCACGACCCACTGCGCCGCGCAGTACGCGCAGTACGCGCAGCACAGCGTCGGAGATACCATCTCCTACAGCCCGGGGTGAAGACCATTATGGCCCGTCAGATGAAAAATGCCCAGGACCACATTCAAGGAGACGATGATGACAACCACCTGCCGACTTCCACATCACCGCAGAGGCAGCTGATGCTCACACTCGCAGTCAGCGGATACGAGAGCCTGTTGAGGTACTTTATGCAAGATGCCCATCTACACGTACCTCTTGGACGGAGCCTTTACGAGTCACTGCGGTTCGGACACCACCGATTCGCCAAGCGATTGATCGAGCTGGGGACGACGCCCAGGCAGCAGCGGCTGCGGCTTGCGGTCAAGCAGATCCGCCGGGCGGTCACCAACGGGGAGCCATCCATCTTGCTTGCCCTGTGGCTCGAGCCGGACCTATGGGAAGCCAGTGAGTTCACCACGATATTCCCAAACGACGAGCACTGGAGCTATGGGATATCCAGTGGTCTCTATCCACGCTCGATCCAGGACGTTGCCACGACGGTTGCGCTGATGCTTGGGATCGACCTCAGCCGAACCCAAATCGTGCTGCTGTGCATGATTGCCACCAAGACCAAGCGGTTCCCGGGAGAGCTCATCCACAATCTACTGTACCTGTCACCGAACGTCTTTTACATTCTTGCTGCGATCGGGCGGTCGGCGTTTTCGGTCGGGTTGTTGAAACTGGTGCGGCAGTACCAGCAGTGCCCGCATCTGAACCGAGTGTACCAGCCGCATCCTGCGCTCTTTGAGTTTTTCCAATTGTGCGTTCCGGCCTCGACGATGCTTGCTGTCATCGAAGTGGTCCAAGTCCAAACGAGTCGACTGGACTTGGACATTGAACGAGAGCCACAGAGCTGCTACTATCGATCGACCCCGCCGCCGAGGCTTCTCAGACTGTACCAGGACCAAAAAAAAATTCTATTGGTTCAGTAGCAGACACCTCCCAAAGTTCAGTTTCACACATGGATCAATATGCGCAATACGTCGACGGTGCCCACAAATCCATCAACCTCTACACCGAGCCATGGGTCAACCGACTTACCGAACCCGTTTTCGCCGCCATCATCACGGTGTTCTTCTTCACCATGGCCGGCCACTTTGCGCCTCAGCTCGAGCTTTCCCAGTATGCCCAGATGCCTGCTGTCCAGGCGGTCGTCATGGCCCTGATCCTGTTCATCAAGAACCACGATATCACCATGTCGCTGGTTATTGCGTTGGCCTTCCTGTTCCTGCTGCACCACATCACCGCCGTCAAGCAAAAGAAAGCCCAGCAGGAGTCGTTCTCGCCGATGACCAGCATCATCCCCGGCTGCCTGAATGTCAAGATGACCGACATCTACACCAGCTTTGCCAACGACCAGGAGAAGATGCTCCAGGCCATCCGCTGGTCGCAGTTCCCCGGCAATGTCCCCCTGACGGACGAATACGCCCCTCTCGTTGCCACGTACCTGATCAACGCTGGCTACGCCATCAGCGCTGCAGGTTGTGGTGCACCAAACTGAGCGCAACCCCGGGAAACTTTTTCTCGACCTCCTGGACGACACCTTCGGCCAGGGAGCGGGATATCGGCACACAGGCGAGTTCGTGCGTGCGTTTTGGATAATAAAACGATATATAGTCCAATGAGCCCTCGTCTAAGGACTCATCGGGCAGCAGATCGTAGAGGAGGTTCTCAATGAAGAGATGGAGGTTGGGGAGCGAATCCTCGAACTGGAGCGACATTCGGTCGGGATTCTTGAGGGGGTGAGCAGAAAAAAAGATTGTCCATCGGCAAAGATGTCTGTCAGTCCTGACCAATTCACGGTTCCAAATATCTTTTCAATCAATCCAAACAACAACGTTACCATCTTTGCGACAACGGATGCGACGAGCTCGACGGCTGGTGGCAGCTTGACGGTGCAAGGAGGCGGTGCCGTCGCCAAGTCGTTCTGGGTTGGCACCCAAGTCAACGCGGCCACGCTTGCTACCACAGGCAATGCGGTGATTGGCGGCACGCTGTCGGTCACGGGGACAAGTGCCGTGGCGGGTCTGTCTGCATCGAGCCTGAGCGTTTCGGGCTCGTCGTCGTTGGGGGCGATCTCGGCCTCTGGGATTATTGCCTTCACCAATACCACCGACGCAACATCGTCAACCACCGGATCCCACACTCTGGCTGGAGGTATGGGAATCATCCAAGTCGCTCTATGTCGGCACATTCGATCAATTCGGCCACCTTAAGCACCACTGGTAATGCTAGCGTCGGAGGGACGTTGGGGGTGACCGGATCGACAACTCTTGCGGGTCTGGGTGCTGGAACGACCACTCTTGGATCTCTTTCCGTCACAGGCACCACGGCTCTTTCATCGGCAACCACAGGAACAACACTCAGTCTCTCGGACACCACGGACGCTGCTTCGACTCCAGCCGGTGCATTGCAGGTGAGTGGAGGTATCTATGTGGGTAAATCGATTTATGTCAACAGCACAACGGCATCCGACAACCACATCCACAGGATCGATCGTGGCAAAGGGCGGCCTCGGACTCGCAGGGAGCTGCTAACATCGGAGGAGCACTTGCGGTGACAGGCGCAACAACACTCTCGTCCACACTTGGAGTTACAGGAACGACAACGGCAGCTGCAATCAATGCCTCTGGAGCAGTGAATATTAGCAATTCTACGGCATCCAGTAGCAGCTCGACAGGTGCCTTGATCGTCTCAGGTGGTGCCGGAATTGGTGGTGCTCTCAATATTGGAGGAAATGGAAGCATTGGGGGCACCCTTTCGGTTACTGCCGCCACAACTCTCTCATCCACTCTGGGAGTGACCGGAACGACGACCGTGGCTGCAATTAACGCTTCAGGTATCGTTTCCTTGAATAACACCACCGATGCCACATCAACATCCACCGGATCACTCACCTTGGCGGGTGGTATGGGAGTCGGTAAGTCACTTTATGTCGGCACTTCGATCAACTCGGCCTACCTTAAGCACCGACTGGTAATGCCAGCGTAGGAGGGACGTTGGGGGTGACCGGATCGACAACTCTTGCGGGTCTGGGTGCTGGAACGACCACTCTTGGATCTCTTTCGGTCACAGGCACAACGGCTCTCTTCATCGGGCAACCACAGGGAACCACACTCAGTCTCTCGGACACCTACGGACGCTGCTTCGACTCCAGCCGGTGCATTTCAGGTGAGTGGAGGTATCTATGTGGGTAAATCGATTTATGTCAACAGCACAACGGCATCCACAACCACATCCACAGGATCGATCGTGGCAAAGGGCGGCCTCGGACTCGCGGGAGCTGCTAACATCGGAGGAGCACTTGCGGTGACAGGCGCAACAACACTCTCGTCCACACTTGGAGTTACAGGAACGACAACGGCAGCTGCAATCAATGCCTCTGGAGCAGTGAATATTAGCAATTCTACGGCATCCAGCAGCAGCTCGACAGGTGCCTTGATCGTCTCAGGTGGTGCCGGAATTGGTGGTGCTCTCAATGTCGGTGGAAATGGAAGCATTGGAGGGACACTGGGAATCACAGGTACGACAACTGCAGCTGCGATCAATGCTTCTGGCGTCGTCGCCTTCACCAACACCACCGACGCTACCTCATCAATCACCGGTTCGCACACTCTGGCTGGAGGTATGGGAATCGGTAAGTCACTTTATGTCGGTACATCGATCAACTCAGCCACCTTGAGCACGACTGGTAATGCCAGTGTCGGAGGGACATTGGGTGTGACTGGTGCAGCAACGCTCTCATCCACGCTCGGAATTACAGGAACGACAACGGCCGCTGCGATCAACGCTTCTGGAGCAGTGAATATCAGCAACTCGACGGCATCCAGCAGCAGCTCGACGGGTGCCCTGATCGTTTCCGGCGGCGCTGGAATCGGCGGTGCTCTCAATGTCGGTGGAAATGGAAGCATTGGAGGGACACTGGGAATCACAGGTACGACAACGGCAGCTGCAATTAATGCTTCGGGCGTGGTAAATATCAGCAACTCGACAGCATCCAGCAGTAGCTCGACAGGTGCCTTGATCGTTTCTGGCGGTGCAGGTGTCGGCGGCTCCCTCTATGTTGGCGGGTCGATCACATCCTCCGGCGATGTCACCGCCTTCTCGGATATCCGACTCAAGAAGCAGGTCTCGACACTCACCGATGCACTCGACAAGGTCAAGCGGCTGCGTGGAGTCCGGTTCTTGCGCAAGGACACGCGCGAGGAATGTATCGGTCTCATTGCCCAGGAAGTCGAGAAAGTCATCCCGCAAGTCGTTCACGAGCGCACCCTGGCCGTCGGCGATCCCGAGACAAAGTACAAGAGTGTCGCTTATGGAAACATTGTGGCTTTATTGATTGAGGCAGTCAAGGAGCTTGCACAAATGATGGAAAGCAATTTCTCTCAATAAACTCGGGATTCTCCATCTCTCTCAAATACTGCGCCTTGTTGTTCAGAATCGCATAAGGTCGCCTCGATCGATGGGGCTGGATTGGTGACTTCCACAATCTCGCCCGTCAGGGTGTTGAAGCAGTATGCATGCGTGGCACCCGTGATCCACTTGTACAGCGCCGTCTGCAGGACATGCTCTGGGGTGAGCATACTCACACTCTTGAGCTCGATCACGATGCGGCTCATCGACTGCACCGGCTCGATCCACATATCCAGTCGTCCGCTGATCTTGAACGATTCGGTCTCGAGGCTCACGGGTCTCTCAAAGATGGTATCCTTGGCCAGCACCGCCTCAGGTTCGGCGATACCGTGCTCTTCGGCCAACAAGCGCTTCAGTAGAGCATATCCGTTGCGGCAGCATCGATTGAACTCGACAGAGTCCAGCCAGTTCAAGCTGCTGATTTGGTGCAGCAGGTGAGGCTGGTCCTTGAGCGTGGCATAGTGGGCCAGGCGCAGGATCAGGCGGTTCGTCTCGACGTTGTCTCTGTCTTCTGGTCTGGGCTCAAAGATTTCCGAGGGGCAGCTGAAGCAGCTGGGTACAGGTGCCTGCTTGCCATGCTTGAAGCACTCGCGCCACTTGCGACGATTGGGTGTCTTGATCAGGCCCATACAAGCCAACTCCAGCTTCATCGAGATGGCGTTGCCATTGATGGCCGAGACATCCTCAGTGGAGGCGGATGCCGTTGTATTCCTGGGTACTCTGGTTGCGGATATTGATGCGATAGCTCTCCTCATAGACCGTGCGGATGTTGACCGAGCGGAAGGCATCGATCATCTGGCGTTGGGGGAGGTGTGAGAGCAGCTGGCCAACCGAGAGCATCTTCTTGGTCTTGGGCTGCTTGGCGGCCTTGTCGGCTCGGTCGGTGATCAGCTCCTCTCGCTTGCGCTTCAGCTCCATCTGAACCGCTGGAAGGCCGCTGGTATCGGTCAAACTCGGGCCGCTGGTCGCCCTTGGGAGTCACCAGATACAGAGTATCCGTGGCTCGGGTCATGGCAACAAAGACAGAAGTCGGCAGCTGGGGCTCGTATCGGAACTTTTTGGTGCCATAGTCGACCAGGAAGGTGTGGCGGCACTGCAGGCCCTTGGAGCGGATGAAGGTCATGATCCGGAGCTTGCCGCGCTGCAAATCGAGCTTGGACTCTGCGAGATCGCCGGCAATGAACAGGGGGATACGGCGCAGAGTGAGCTGCTGGTCGAGCTCGCCCACAGTGGTGGGGCGGTTGTACTGCACGAGCTTGGTGGAGTTGGCCAAGATAATAATGTCGTCGTAGGCAACGCTGAAGTGGTCGTGCAGCTTGATGATCTCCTCGACCACATCATGGACACTGTGCAAGTCAGTGGCGGATGGCGTGGTGGTGACGGCGGCTGCCGACGAGCTTGACCTTCTCCATGCCGGTGATGTGCTGCTTCATGTAGTCGACCACACCCTCGGTCAGCCGGTGCGAGACGGAGAGGCCGAAGCGGCCCCATTGGCGGTCCGGGTAGATATCAGAGACCATGGTCAGATATCGGGCGTCGCCGCCGCGGTAGCCGTAGATGGCCTGCAGCGGATCGCCCAGGAAGACGAGCTGCAGCGGGCGCTGCTTGGTAAGTCTCGAGGTCACGGATGAAGCAGTGGATGTACTGGTTCAGGCCCTCGTCGAGATCCTGGCACTCGTCGACGACAAAGACATCGACGGCCTTGGGCGGGGTGATGATGCGGTCGGGCATGTGCACCAGCTGGTCGAGGGCAATGGCGTTGGGGGACAGGAACTGGTAGTAGTCCGTGGTCGAGCTGTTCACGGTGCAGACATGGACATTGCGCAGACCCAGCTGGTTGAACTTGTGGACGGTCTCCTCGCGCAGGTTGCGGCCAAAGGACAGCACAAGAAAGTAGCGCTCGGGGAAGGCCTTGGCCAGCAGCGAGATCGTCGTGGTCTTGCCGCTGCCGGGAACGGCCGAGATGACCAGGTTGTTGGCGGTGTCGGCAAAGTGGGTCAGGATCGCGTGCTGCTCGTCCGTGGCCTGCATGGTGGTGTCGGTGTCGGGCGTAGATGCGTCGGTGCTATGCCATGGTATGGTAAAATATCTTTATTGATAATTCACAAGAGTGTGGTACATCATGATGGGAGTGGATTATTTGGATTTGGCGAGGCGCTCGAGTGCGGTTTTCGCTCTTTCGTGACCTTGGTCCGCTGCCTTCTGGTACCAGGATCGGGCAGTCTCGATGTCTTTGGAGACACCTTTGCCATCACGGTAGCAGTTGCCGATATTGTTCTGACCCCATACATTCCCCTGATTGGCGGCCTTGGTATACCACTCGATTGCCTTGACGTAGTCCTGGGCGACACCTTTGCCATTACGGTAGCAGTTGCCGATATTGTTCTGACCCCATGCATTCCCCTGATTGGCGGCCTTGGTGAACCACTCGACTGCCTTGGCATAATCTTGGTCGACACCTTGGCCGCCGTAGTAGCAGTTGCCGATATTGTTCTGACCCCATACATTCCCCTGATTGGCGGCCTTGGTATACCACTCGATTGCCTTGACGTAGTCCTGGGCGACACCTTTGCCATTACGGTAGCAGTTGCCGATATTGTTCTGACCCCATGCATTCCCCTGATTGGCGGCCTTGGTGAACCACTCGACTGCCTTGGCATAATCTTGGTCGACACCTTGGCCGCCGTAGTAGCAGTTGCCGATATTGTTCTGACCCCATACATTCCCCTGATTGGCGGCCTTGGTGAACCACTCGACTGCCTTGGCATAATCTTGGTCGACACCTTGGCCGCCGTAGTAGCAATCGCCGAGGCTATTCTGAGCCGCTGCATTTCCCTGATTGGCGGCCTTGGTGAACCACTCAACTGCCTTGGTGTAGTCCTGGGCGACACCATTTCCGTCGTAGTAGCAATCGCCGAGGTCGTTCTGAGCATCTGCATTTCCCTGCTCAGCGGCCTTGGTATACCACTCGACTGCCTTTTTGAGGTCCTTCTTGACACCTTTGCCGACGGCGTAGTGGACACCGAGGCTATTCTGAGCCGCTGCATTTCCCTGATTGGCGGCCTTGGTGAACCACTCAACTGCCTTGGTGTAGTCCTGGGCGACACCATTTCCGTCGTAGTAGCAATCGCCGAGGTCGTTCTGAGCATATGCATTTCCCTGCTCAGCGGACTTGGTGTACCACTCGACAGCCTTGGTGTAGTCCTGGGCGACACCATCTCCGTTGTAGTAGCAGTTACCGAGGTTGTTCTGAGCATCTGCATTTCCCTGTTCAGCGGCCTTGGTATACCACTCGACTGCCTTGGTGTAGTCCTGGGCGACACCATCTCCGTTGTAGTAGCAGTTACCGAGGTTGTTCTGAGCATATGCATTTCCCTGTTCAGCGGACTTGGTGAACCACTCGACTGCCTTGGTGTAGTCCTGGGCGACACCATTACCGTCGTAGTAGCAATCGCCGAGGTTGTTCTGAGCATCTGCATTTCCCTGTTCAGCGGACTTGGTGTACCACTCGACAGCCTTGGTGTAGTCCTGGGTGACACCTTTGCCGTCGTCGTAGCAAACGCCGAGGTTGTATTGACCCCAGGTATATCCCTGATTGGCGGCCTTGGTATACCACTCGACTGCCTTTTTGAGGTTCTTCTTGAAGCCTTGGTCGTATTGATAGAAATCGCCGAAAATTTGCTGGCTGATCGCGTGTCCTTTCTCGGCCAAATCTTGGAAATCTTCGAATATCTTGGTTTGGTTCAAGCGAGCGCCAAATCGGTGAAATCGACATATCGTCGCCAAGTGCTTGCAAACCCAGTTGAGAGAGGATGTTGTATCGCAGAGTCTGAAGAACTCCTTTGCGGCTTCTGTCATCGATTCTACCCGGATACTAAGATCGATCAATCCGACGCCCAAGTTGAAGTCATCGGTTATCGATTCGAGCATCAGATTGTATCCTCTCGGGATGTCCATGGCGACTCCGAATCCGTGGTAGTAGCACCACCCCATCATGAGCGTGGCGATGGGCTTCATGACAGGATCGGACGAGCTGTCGTAGACGGTTTGCCAGTTCGTAACTGCGTCTCGGTATTCTTCGAGTACGAGCAGATCCCAAGCCCTTTTGAAAGCTTCTGGGATGTTGGTGATATCGGGTTGCTCGACGACGACCGGTGCGACGGACGCTTCATTTTCCGTATACTCAGGAGGGTTGTCGTCCGAGATCGTAGGTGCCGGGGCAGGGGTTGGGACGGTTGGGTTCTGGGTATCATCATCGGCGTCGAGGTCGATACAGACGATCTTGGTTGGCCTGTGCTCGTCATTCGTCTGGGTCGACACCTCGAGTGGTCGCTTCATGGTAGCCGGAATCGATACCGGAGGAGGTGTGGGTTTGGTAGGAATATTTGTAAGACGTCGATAATGCTCGAGTCGAGGCACGATCTGGACGAAAGTCGGGCGATGCTGTGGTTCTTGATGCCAGCAGTGCTCGATCAATGCCCATATGTCATGAGGAATACCCTCAAACCGATCAGGACGTTTGTTGTCTTCAATGAGTGTTAACATTCTGTGTGCGCTCATGGGTCTGTTATCACTCGCGAGCCATAATGGACCACAGTTCTTGAGGACGACGTAGAGCATTACACCATAGGCGAAGACATCGGAAGACTTTGTGTAGCCCCCCTGGAAATTATCCTTGCTAATTTCCGGAGCGATAAAGGCATAAGTGCCGCTCAAGGGAGCTCCAATGGTCTTGGTGGCTTCGGTGGGTGTGGTTTCTCTCTTGTACCTTGCGGTACTAAAATCCGACATCACAGCGTTGAAGTCGGAATTCAGCAGGACGTTGGATGGCTTCAGATCCCCATGCACCATATCTTTCGAATGCAGATACTGCATCTCACATGCCACTTGGAACATCCAGCGAAGTTTCTCCTCGATGGACGTTTGGTGTTGGCGGAGGTACTTGTCGAGTGAGCCGTTTTTCATGAACTCGGAAACCATGACTCCTCCACCATCTTGGATGTAAGCACCCACGAGGGTGAGGATGCCCAGATCGCGACAATTCCACCAGAGATCGATCTCTTTGCGGAGGGTTGTGACCTTCTCGGTGGTGGTGACGCCATGTATCTTCTTCACAGCGACTTTGAAACCATTGTAATCGGCGGTATGAATTTCGCCAAAACCACCGACAGCGAAGGGTTCGGGAGAAATGTCGACCACCCGATCTGGATCAATCCACCAGGGTGGTCTCCTGCAAAGGATGCGAGCAAGTGTGTCGTCAGTGTCTACCCCGGGTCGATAGTCCCCAGACATGAGTCTATGCCAACATACGTCTGCGGAGTTGGCGGTGCCTGCATTTTGATGGAGCCGTGGATAGGTTGTGTCGTGAGTGATGGGCAATGGACGACGGCGGTGGTGTGAGGGAGGCCCAGTGCAGAACCTGGGGTTTTGAAGCCCTCTCCAGCAGAAAACGCCGCCTCCTCGGACATCGGCCGCTTTTCCCGCAAGACGCGCACCAGCCGTTGGCGCAGGTGATGGCGTCAGCCATGCACCTCTCTATTGGCGCATCCTCGAGCCACCAATCACCGCGACCCCAGCGGCCTGCTGCGCAGCAACTCGCGCACCAACCACACGCAAGAACAGCCCCACCCACGAGCCACACGAGTCATTGGATATCGCCTGTATTTGTTGTCAATTGTTAGGGATAGCTCCTGCTTGTTCCCCACTTTGACTGCACACTTGGCTGTTCTTTTGCCTCTCTGTTTGTTTGTGTGTAGCTTTGCAGTTCCCCCTCCAATTTTCCGCCTTTTGCCTGCCATTTCTGCTCCTTCCGCACTTCCGTTTTCCCGCGCTGCTCCGCTTCCTTTGTCTTCTTCGCACGCGCCGGTTTGTTTGTGCACGCGCCTTGCTGCGATTGGCTGCAATTCGACTGCCGGTCATGTGTCCCCCCACCGGTGACTCATGACCTGCCTGACCGTCCCGATCTCTTGTTCATCTCGCATGCATTTGCCCCAACCTTATACTTGACCAATCCGCTTCTTGGACGTTGAGTCACATTGCTTCGCCTTTGCACGTTTCTCCTGCCAGGTGCTTCGCTTTTGCTTGCGCCTCTCTCGCTTTGATTCTCTGCCTGTCTCGGTGGTCCTTCTCGGCCCTCGTTCGTGCATCGCCCCCTTCGCCCTGCTCGATCGCCCACTTTTCCCTCCCTTGGCCGCCCTTCGCTGCCAAGTCCGGACTTGTCTATAAATAGCCTGACCCCCGCGATGTGTAGTCGAACCTCAGCGTTCAAAATAGGACTAAATAAAGTGCCTTCTACTTTATTCTCTGAGTGTTCCTCACGTCTCATTTCGAGACAAGTCTTATCTTGAACGGATCTTTGCTTCCCTCGCTCCCTCTCCGAGTCCACTTCGGACTTTACCCTTGCTTTCCCTGAGCTCACTTCGAGCTCACTTCTTCTTTTGCCGTTGAGTCCCCCTCGGACTCTAACATCAATTCACAGCACATGAAACCTTCTCAAGCGCTTCTGCGCTGTCGAGGTTCTCCAAAGATGATATTGCGTCTCGATGACCTCTCGTGGCTGCCCTTTCATACCAAGATCTGGCAGTCTTGACGTCATGGACAACACCCCGACCACCATGATAACAGCAACCCACTTTGTACTCGCCATCGGCATCACCCTGGCTGGCAGCCTTCCTGTACCACTGGATCGCCTTTGTGTGGCTCGGTGAGACACCTTCTCCCTCTGCAAAGCAGTTACCGAGATTGACTTGGGCCAACGCATATCCCTGTTGAGCGGACTTGGTGAAAAATTCGTATGCCATTCTGGGATCTCTCTTGACACCAAGACCATATCGGTAGCAGTAACCAAGTTTGTTCTGAGCTTCGGGGTAGCCCTGTTCGACCGCCTTGGTGTACCACTTAAATGCTGTTCTGAAAACCCTCTTGACTCCATGTCCATTTTCGTAACACAGACCAAGGTTGAATTGAGCCTGAGCATTCCCTTCGTTGGCTGATTTGCGAAACCATTCGACCGCTTTGGTGTAATCCTGAGTGATGTCTTGGCCTCGGTGGTAGCAACTGCCGATTTCAAACTGCGCTTGTGGGTCGCCTCGTTTTGCAGCTGGCCAGTGCTCGTTCTTCTCGATACCATCATTTGCAAAATCCAAAAGCCCTCGTTCTTTGATCATTTTGAGACATAGTGTGGCTTGCTTGTTGCCCTGGGCGGCGGCTCTGGAAAACCAGGCGACTGCTTCGATATTGTCCTCGTCGACATCTTTCCCGTAGTAGTAGCGAGATGCAATCGCATATTGACCCCAGTGCAACCCCTGGTCGGCCGAGTCTTGATACAACTTCAAGGCCTTGACGCTGTCCTTTTTGACACCATTCCCTTTTGCGTAGCAGATACCGAGTTTGTACTGGGCAGTCCGAAGCCCGGCATCTGCCGATTTCCTGTACCACTTGACGGCCAGCTCAAAGCTTTGGGTGACCTCGTCTCCCTTGTAGTAGCAGTCACCAAGCATGACTTGAGCGTAGGAGTACCCTTGGTTGGCCGATTCGATGATCAACGATATCATCTTTGTCAGGTTTTTCTCGACGCCCGTGCCTGTGTTGTAACAGATTCCGAGGACGTATGTGCTGACGGCATGGTCGTCGCTCGACAGCTCTTTGAAGCGTTCTACTGCTCCGGAGTGGTCGACTTGTGTACCCAGTCCGTGGAGCTTGAAGGCGGCGACTAGATGCTTGCACACCCAGCTGCGATCAGCGCCGGCCGAGCAGCGTCTGAAAAACTCGACGACGGGGGGTGACATCGACTCAGCCAGCTGAATATCATCGAGTGCGAAAAACCACAAGACGAAATCGGGCCTCTGGGATTTGAGCATGAGCCGATAACCCTCTGGGATGTCCGCCTCAATTCCGAGTCCCAGGAAGGTGCACCATCCCAGCATGAAGGTGCTGATGCATGCTGCGATAGGGTCCGTGGATGTGGACGAGACGACGCGCCATCGGTCGAGGGTGGTTGGGAACTCGGACTCGATAAACGCATTCCACGCTTGATCGAAAGCATTCTGCACGTTGTCCGTTCCAGGCGGCTCGGGGGGTGATTCCACATCATCGGGGTTCTCGTTGGATCCACTATTGTCGACGGATTGGTGGGATTCGGCGGCAGGAGATGTGACCATCTCCGAAGGGGAATCATCTCCCTCGAGACGAGAGAGTCTGCTGGAATGGGCATCTTCCGACTCGGTCGAGGGTGATCGGATGCGTTTGACGCCCCTAGAGAGGTGTTTGGATTTTCTGGAGGGCATGATACGAGACGTTTGAGTCACTGGATGGTGGCGATCGAGGGGGATGAGCGCAGAACCCAGGCTTTTTGTCGACCCCAAGCAGAAAACGCAACCCCTCGGACATCTGCCACACCCACGCGAGTCGCGCACAAGGCGCTTATGTCAGCCGTTGGTGCATGTGATGGCGTCAGCCATGCACCTCTCTATTGGCGCATCCTCGAGCCACCAATCACCGCGACCCCCAGCGGCCTGGCTGTGCTGTGAACCACTCGCGACGCGACGAGTGGGGCCAGCCAAACGCGCACAATCCACCGCGTCCGTGTGTGGCCAGAGGCACCCACGCCTGGGTCAGCATTGCCATTGCGCTCATGTATTCATGGACGAGACGGCGACATGTGGATCTGGAACATTTCAAGTCCATGACGACCATCATCTTGGTTGAGTCGTCGAAGGTGTTCCTGGGCATGTTCATTGTCCCCTGGCTGGCTGCTGCTCGGATCGTAGATCGTGGCGAAGTGTGGGATGCCTGCCCACCGAGTTTTGTTGGATGCGCAAAGTTGTGGGTGAACCTGGCCGCTTTGTGCTCGGGAGGTGGCTGCGTCGCACCACAAACGAAGACCAGTCGCCGCTGCGGCAAGCGGCTGGACAAGACCCCCTCGAAGACAAAAAGACACGGCGCCTCCCCCCTTGATCGCCTGTCCATACCACCCCATTTCACCATGTCGATCGCCGACTTTCGTCGCCAACTTCGAGAGATCGCCCCTTGTGTCGATCCCACTATTCACAGCTTCATCGAGCGCTGCGAGGAACTCATCGATGCGTCCCTCCCACTCAAGGACGTTCGGTCGGCCTGGAAATCCCCCAAGTCCCTGCTCGAGAGGAGCGCCAAGAAGCTTCGTATACGCAAGTTTGAATTCTACCTCGCCTGGATGCACTACCTCGGTCTGGGGACACCTGTGGACACCGACAAGGCCTTTGCGCTGTGGAAGAAGGTCTACGAACGCAGCCAAGATCCGATCTTGATGAACCTGGCTGGCTTCATCGTCAAGTGTTGCTACGCTGCTGGCCAGTGCAGATCCTTCAATTGGTGCGAAGTTGAGATGAATACCTCCGAGTGGACTCTTGGCTGCGAACAAGTCCAGCTTCGATGCTTGCAGTTTTGCACACTCGGAGCTGAGCAGGGTGACTGGTTCTGCCAGTTCCTCAAGGCCCAATGCCTTCTCAATGGAGTTGGGCTCCAGGAACCCGATTTCGGCAGCGCATTTATGATTCTCGAAGGGCTAGCGCTACGAGGACATGCCATCGCACAGTGTCATCTCGGCGAGATGATTGAGGATGGACTCACTCCCCAGCCCAAGGACGGCCCCAGCATGACGTGGTGGTACGCACAGGCTGCAGCACAAGGGTACCCTGAAGCTCAATACGCTCTTGGACGCTGTCATTTGATGGACGATGATCGTCTCGACTTGGCCATGTTCTGGTTCGAGCTGGCAGCTCGGAACGGACATGGAGATGCGATTGCGATGCTTTGAAAATACAGTCATTCATACCACCACACACATACAAGCATGAGCGAGGTATCTGGGTATATATATTCACATTTCAGAGGAGCAGATCCAACAACTTCAAAGAATCACCAGCAGCAGTGTGTCCATGGTCGACAGCCAGCTGGTAGAAATATTTTGCCACTCGAATGTCAGAGGTGGCGCCTGTCAAGACTGGACAACGGGGCAAGCAGGGAAGTGCGCAAGAGTCCTAATACAAGACTCGAACGTAGGGAGAGGAGCGGGGACTGGACTGGGACACAGAGTGTCAAGTGTAAAGCCAAAGTTTTATTCTAGATCCAAGGCTTAGGATACTAAAAATACAAAGTTCATTTCAAGGACAAGGCAAGATAACTAGGCAAGATACAAGGCAAGGAAACTCGGTTCATGACACTATCTCCCCCTTATAGGTCAGCCATAATGGCTCGATAGGACTGGAACATGAACGGCACCCCAGCTCGGGCTTTTCCGAAATTCAGTGTCAGCATCGGTTTCGAACCGGCAACCTCCAGACTGGTATGCAGACACCTTAAACGAACTCGGCGAACTGGGGCACTGGCAGGGGACTCGGAACGGCGGATGAAACCCTTGGACAAGTTTTCTTGGATGTAGGTGTGGAGGGCGTCCATCTCCGGCTTGGAGAGGTTGTAGACGGGCCCAAACGACGGAGACGCACCTTCGACCAACGGGATCGTGTGGTCGTGAGGGCGGTGCTGGGGGAGCTTGTCGGCCTCGGACTTGGAAAACACCTTGGCAAAGGACGAGTACTTGGAGGGGACAGAGGGTTCGGCCTTGGGCTTGGCTCCAGCGTCGACGGAGCAGAGGGACAGGACTCGGGCAGCATCCAAGAGGAACACTTCCAGGCCTTCCTTCTGGACGGCGTGCTGGAAGGGGATGCTGCCGATCAGGCTGACGCTGGGCAGGGACGGGGTCTTGGTCTTGGTCTTTGGGACGGCAGGAGGCAAGGCAGGACTGGGCTTGGGCACGGCAGGAGGCAAGGCAGGGAGGATCTCGGGCTCGGCTGGGGACTCGGCTGGGGACTTCTTGGACTCGGGCAGGGACACGGCAGGCTCGGCGGGGACCTCAGCAGGGGACTCGGCAGGCGGCTCGGCAGGGCTGGACCTAGAGGACTGTGGCTCGGGAGAGAACGGGGAGGCCAAACTGTGGATAGAGGTGCAAGGCAAGAAAATAGAGTCATGGTGCCAGTCAAAGTAGGGTTTGTGTTTCTTGATCCAATCCATACCCAAGATGATCGGGTATGAAGCCAAGGGAATCAGCGCGAACGAGATTTGTTCATAGTGGCTGATGCCTGTGATCATAGAAACACAAACTCCAAGACTAGACTCCATCGAAGAACCATCGGCAAGAGTGATGACGAAGGAAGTTTCAAAGGTGGGGAGAGCGTGGGTTGCGGCGAATCCAGTGTCCATAAACGAAGTAACCGCGCCGGTATCGATCATGGCGGTTGCCCGTATGGACTCTGGACCGCACAGCAGAGTCACAGCGAGGGAGGGCTGACGTTGGATGTCAGGCTCGGGAGGCGAAGACGAAGAAGCAAGAGCGGTGGAAACGGTGGCAATGGTGACGGGGGCAAGATGGCAAAAGGCAGAAGAGTGATTTACCGTGGAGACATTTACAGGAGGAAGATTTATGACATGATTGACGCCTAGGAAAGCTCCTCCGACCTTTTCTAGGCAGAGAAGTTTTCCTGGTCGTCAAGTTTATTCACATCAACGACAGCCAAAGAAGCATCGATGGCAGCCAAGCGGGAGGAGGTCTTATTGGGGCAGCGAAGGGCAATGTGTCCTTCCTGCTTGCAATAAAAGCAGCGGTTGGCAGCACGGAGGGCGGCCTTGTCCTCGGCGGTCAGCCTGCGAGCGGAAGCCTGGCTGAGGTCCATGGGCTGCGGAACGTTGAAGGCTTGAGCGGGGCGAGGAGGAGGAGCAGGAGCGAACGGACGAGGAGCCGGACGGAAAGGGAGAGGAGCCGGACGAGCAGGAGCAGGAGCAGGAGCGGAGCGGTGGTTGGGACGGCGGGAGCGTTGGTCCTCCTGGCGGTTGTCGATGGCGATCGCCGCTTGCATGAGATCTTCGAGGTTGTCGAAGGAGCGGCGGGAGAGTTCGTCTTGGACCGAGGGCTTGAGTCCACTCTCGAAGTGGAACATGAGAGGGTCTTGGGACCAAGTGACGAGGTGGACGGCTTGGCGGCGGTACTCGGCGGCATAGGCGGCGGCGGAGGTGACTTGGTAAAGCCTGACCATCTCGCGAGCAGCGGCGATGGTGGGCTGAACCTGGCCAAAGGCAGCACGGAGCCACTCGGAGAAACCGGCAAAGTCACGGATGGCAGGGGGGGAGCACTCGGGGTCTCTCTCCAACTGATCGATGTACGGCTGCATGTAGTCTGCAGCAGTACCATCGAGATAGGATAAGGCGTAAAACACCTTATCCCTTTCAGTCTGGAAGAGGGGAGGGTTGGACACGAAGGCCAGTCTGCAATGCGAGAGGAAGGCATTGCAGCGGCTCGGGTCCTTACCAGAGAAGCGGTCGGGAGGACCTATCTGCCTGGTGGCAGAGTTGCGACCAGCAGAGTGATCCTCGGGGTCTTGGGCAGGATCATCGACGTCGTCAGGTACGCCGAAGTAGGGGCGACCTGCGCGACGGATCGGGGCGGGAGCGGGAGCAGGAGGAGGTAGCTGGGCCTGGTAGCTGCGGAGGGCCTCCTGGACACTGGCGGCGACAACTTGGCGGACATCCTCTTCACGGCGAGCCAGGACCTGGTCCATACGATCGGTGATGCGGTTGAGCGCATCATCCTGATCGTGGAGGAACTTGGAAAAGTCCTGGAGAGAACGGGCGTTCTCGGCGGACTGGATAATGACCGCACGGATGGCCTGGAGCTCGGGCTCGGAAAGGCCAGAAGGGGAAGCCATTGGTAAAAGAGATAGCGAAGGGAACGGGGGCAAAGGCAGGGCAAGTGGGGGGTTGTTGAAGGTCTTGCCAAGTGTCAAGACTGGACAACGGGGCAAGCAGGGAAGTGCGCAAGAGTCCTAATACAAGACTCGAACGTAGGGAGAGGAGCGGGGACTGGACTGGGACACAGAGTGTCAAGTGTAAAGCCAAAGTTTTATTCTAGATCCAAGGCTTAGGATACTAAAAATACAAAGTTCATTTCAAGGACAAGGCAAGATAACTAGGCAAGATACAAGGCAAGGAAACTCGGTTCATGACAGCGCCCAAACCAGCCTCCACGCAGTGCGCCAACTTGTACATGGCATCAGCGTACCCCTGGTTCGCTGCTGCAAAGTAGAGATGTGTCATCATCATTTGGTCTGCACTTGACTTGGTGAATCGCTCTTGAATGCAGTCAGCCAAGGCGCACTGGGCGACAGCGCGACCCTCCAAGGCAAGCTGCTCGAGCAGCGACGATGCGTATTCTAGATTGCAGCTGGGGGCTCCGATGCTGTGGATCCAGCACTGGGCGAGGAGGAACTCGCAGAACCAGTTGCCTCGCCCATTTCCTTCTTGACACCACTCAAAGAGTTCGCGGTGGAGCTGGGTTTTCCCTTCCCAGTCGGTCATGACGAACTCGGCTTCGTTCCAGTCGCTCGCAATGCCCACGCCAGCGGCGTAGCACCAATGGACCAGGAATCCAGCGAGGTCGCCAAGGACGTCGGCCTTGCTGTCGTCGTAGATCTGGAACCAGAGCTGGAATGCTTCTTCACGTTTGTGTTGCAGGAAGAGATCACAGGCCCAACGGAAATTGCAGACGTCTTGAACCATGGCGATGACATCGACGTCGTCGTGTCTCGAGTTCTCCTGGCCAAGACGAGCGAGCCAGCGGCGGTAGAGAGCGATTTCGTCTGCGGCGATGGTGGTCATTTTCGGAGTTGCGACTAGGAGAGCGATCGAGTATCTGCGATTTTTTATGGGGGGCGACGAAGCGGACGACATCGACAGCGGCAGACCCCACCCCCCACCGCACGGCCACCCCGGTCGTCGTGTCAAGGCAGCGAAACGCAGCGCTGGGCAGCGACAAGGACCTCCTTGGCCACGTTCTCCGGAGGCAGGCTGGCGTCGAGGACCACCCAGCTCGCATCCTGCAATTCAGCAAAGGCGTTGTACACTCTCTGCTGCAGCTCGACGTTTTCGTATAGCTCAGCCCCATAGCCGCCCCGCCCTGCGGCGACGGTGGGTGGTGCGTCCAGATAGATGACGAGATCTGGGTGGGGAAGCCCGATATCGGTGGCTCTGCACCACTCGACATCGAGGCCTCGGGCCATGGAGTACGCCAGCCCAGAGTGGACGTATCTGTCCAGCACCAGCGTCACCCCGGCGCGCTGCTGACGCTCCATCCAGGCCTTGAAGCCCCAGCGATTTGCCGAGAAGAGGAGGTGGATGCTGTGGTCGTCGAGCTCGGCGTCGCCCTTCAGATGGCGATCGATGATCTTGCCGATGACGGTGGTGCGATCGGGGAACTTGACGAGCTCCGTGGGCACCCCGGCATCGCGGAGACGCTGAACGAGAAGGGCAGCTTGCGTGCTCTTGCCAGAGCGATCACAACCCTCGATGGCGATGAGGGCACCCCTGGACGCCATGATTCGCTCGCTCTACCACCAACCCCCCAGAAAACGAATGCTGTGTCCAGCGCGAGTGGATATTTGTATTTGTGCGATGCCCTACTCCTCTTGCTTGGGTGCAAGAGTAGACTTGATGGTGTCGGGGTGTGTGGCGGGGTGTCTCCCTGGATTGGAGAGGAGGAAAGCGAGTCCCCCAGCAACCCCGCCGACTCACCGACCCATAAGAGTCGCGATCGCCGAAACCCGCACCTCGCCCTCATCGCATTCGCCTTCCCTCAACTGCTTACCCCCAGTCATGGATCATCCCGCCAAGAAACGTCGTCTCATCTCGGCCCCGGCTCCTCCAGTCCAGCAAGTATCGGACATCCCTGATCTAGCTCCCCAGGTCCAGCAAGACACTGATGCTCCTCCCCAGTCCGAGTCTGTGGGTGATCAGATCTCTACAACAAGCGTGGAGATGACCGAGCCTACCGGCCCTGCACCAGCCCAACCACCCAAGCCCGCCAAGAAGCGCAATCCCAGGACCAAGACGATCCCGGAAGGAACCCAGGTCTTCAATGGGCATCCGCTGCTCCAACCCTATCCCCAGAACCTGCTTTCTCCTCGCGACCCCAACAGCACCGACCCGGTGGATCCGATCATCCGCATGCACAAAAATGCACGAAGATGCCAAGACACACCATTGGGGTTCATCAGCGTTGTCAAGCTCCCAGATGGTAGATCGCTTGTTGATGCTCGAGAGGCCATCGCTCTTGCTGATGGCAAGCATCATTTCCGGGGCTATACTCCCAATAGGACCAAAGAAGCCAAGGCTGAGGCAAACAGCATCATGGTCAAATGGTCCAGGACTCTCACTACCATTCCAGCTGTGTACATCAAGTTTGGAAAGGCCATACATGCAGTTCCCTTTGTCGATGATGACGGGTTCTTGGATATTATCGAGATGGGTTTTGGAGGCCGAACAAAGATTGAAAAAGCCAGACAGCGCCGATTTGTGAAGGCAGTCCTAGCATATGATCTCCAAACTCTTGATGAGATTCGTGAAGAGATGGAGTTTGAAAATCGCCGCCAGGAGAACGAAAATCAAAACTTTGTATTTATTACTTGTGCTGCGTTTCAACGAAGGAACAGGGAACAATAAATCTTCTTGTCTCATGTGTCCGAGTGTGTCTCAATGTACCTTATGTCCCGGTAATGGAGTGACAAGCAGAGTACCTTACGCCACGGTAATGGAGTGACAAGTAGAGTACCTTACGCCACGGTAATGGAGTGACAAGCAGAGTACCTTACGCCACGGTAATGGAGTGACAAGCAGAGTACCTTACGCCACGGTAATGGAGTGACAAACAGCAGTACTTCAGCCTGACTCGGCGACGGCGATTCAAGCGACTCGATCTCCACAGCAAGCGACAGCGCACTGCCCACGAGATGTGCAAGCAGGTCATTGACCAGGTACCACCGGAGACCGAGGTGGTGATTGCCTTTGGGAATGCCTCCTGGAAGCAATGGGATGGATATGCGTCCAGTCCACAGAGGCTCGGAATCGCCAAGTATTTCGCGCAGTTCACCCACCAGAGACACCCACAAGGACAGGAAACAATCGCACGGTCTGTGTCGCTGATGCCAGGAAGGAACTGTCCCGTTTCTTTCTGGTTTGACTGTATATTCAAGGTCGTTCTGTCAATCTCAGAAGGCAAGTCTGAGATACAGCCAATCCAATAAAAAACGGGACACCCAGGTTTTGACCATTGATCGAATATTTTGTTACCCAAAACCATCGCGCGCTGGCCATGACCATTCGCCACACATCCGACTTTCGCACCGCCGCATTGCGATGCTACGCCCTCATCCATAGCCTGCGTAAGGTCGCCTCCATATTCAGTGTATCCAAGAGCACCATCCATCGATGGCACCGAGGATGCAAGCTGGATGACCCATCCCGGGTCCCAGCTCGCAGATCCACTTTCTTCGAGCAGGCATGTCCAGTCATTCGCACCCTGATTGAACAGGACCCGTTCCAGACTGGTCCTGTGTTGCGGTGCAAGCTCGAGTCCATCCTCCAGAGGAAAGTATCACTCTCACTCTGCCACACTGCCATCCAGCGAGCAGGCCTCTCACACAAGAGGGCAACACACCTCTACAAGTCCAAGCGACTGGATGAGCGAGTGGCACAGTTCAGGGACCAGGTCCGCTCCATCGACCCGCGGCGATTCGTTTTTGTCGATGAGACAGGGATCAGGAGATCCATTTTCCCTCTCTACGGATACTCACCGAAGGGCGTCCCACTCCGTCAGCGCAATCACATGAAGCACAAGTCTGTCTCGGCTGCATTTGCCATCAACCACTCTGGTGTGCTGCATCGCATGTACATCCCCACAACATTCAAGACACACTCGATGGTCGAGTTCTTTGAGCGAGCGGCCTTCCCAGATGGCTCTGTGATTGTGATGGACAATGTCAGCATGCACAAGACAATGGCTGTCCTGGACTGCATCGAGCGCCGAGGATGGTCAGTGATCTTCACCCCATCTGCTTCACCCGACTTCAATCCCATCGAGAACTTCTTTGGGATTGTGAAGCATCAGTACAGGAAGGCAGCAGCGCTGAATGCGTCTGAGGGGTTCAAGATCGGGATGGTGACCCTGTTCGAGTCCGCCGTGCGGAGGGTGCTTCCAGATGTCTTCCCACCGCTGATTGAGCGCGCGATGCGTTTCTGGGCGTGAATCATACCATCGAAAAAGTGCGTCATAATCACCCTTGGTTTTTTCTTGCCTATAGGTAGAATCAACGGGGTGTCGAAATCGCGACAGATGCCTCCCCGCAAGAAAAAATCCCCGCCTGACCCAAATCCAGATCCTGGACAACCCAGTGACGCACCTGCTGACAAGAAACCCGTCATCAAATCATGTCGTGCCTGTGGATTGACCAACCACGTCAAGCCATTCACCAAGAAATGCAAGGCCCGAACCGAGTTGGCCCCCCCTTCTGACTCGGCGTCTGCCTTTGGCGCCGTTTGCCAAGCACCCCCTCCAGACGAGTCCAGCGAAGACATCGCCGTTCCGGCCCTCGTGGTCGAGATGCCTGCACCAAAAGTCCCTGTATGTACCACGTGTGGGGAAGAGGGTCATGCCAGAAGCAGCAGCTCGTTGTGTTCAAAAAAGAACCCCCTCTGGAGCTCTACCGAGCCCGACTGTGGTCCAAACGAGTATGCCAAGGCAGAGTACTCGGTCATCAAGTGCACCCTCGACACCATCATCAAGAACGATGCCTTGCACGACAAGATCGAGGAGACTGTCCGGGCTATGACACACGTGCAGTACGAAGCATCTCGGCTCCTGGAGCTGCATCTCAGGCGATGCTTGGACGAGGGCATCACCATCCCCACTGTGTCGTCGAGTGACCCTTCGTTCGTTCGAAAGTGTTTCAACATGGTGCATACCGGAGCTACAGATGTCAAGAATGGCACGACCCAAGAAGACAAGCACCTCCTCGACACCTATGAGCTGTATCGAAGTACATGGGGTGGATCGTGTGCCCTACCTCCTGTAACCCTCCCAAAGGGCACTGGTTCACAGGTCCTCACATTGGCTGTCAAGACCTATGCAATCAACTGTGAGACACACATTCTCGATCGATATTGGTCCCTTCTACGCCGATTCTGCAATCTGGCCCTGATTGCTCCCAAGGATGTCAAGCGACATACACACGTCGATGAGTGTATGAAGCTGATGGAGAATCCCCTCTCCGATACACTCCTCGGTGATCTGAGGAAATCCTTCGCCCACCATGCCGACCAGCTCTACATCTTTCGCTACACAAGCCAACAGGACCTGTACAAAGTCGTACCAGTATTGGCCAGTGAAGTCTCTCAGCTGACCCACCGAAAGGAGACACTATTCGTGGCGACCATTCGAAACAGAATCATCCCCAGGCTCGTGAGGGATACCGATGATCTGAAAGGAGAGTGTGGACGACTGAACGAGGAGATGTGTCGCGCGATCGAACGAAGGCAGTCGGATCAATACAACGCACTCCACAAACGGCACGAGGAGGTGGAGAAGCAGGTCACCGTCAACACGAAGCGAATCAAGCGATTGACCGACCGACTTGCTCAGACCAGGAAACGACACAACGTCCCTCGAGCACAGTGCACCTTGGTCCCGCTCTGCGATGCCAGAGCCAAGTATGTCAAGCTCGACACCAAAGCATTGTGGGAGTTCCTTGGTTCCCAGAAGGGTACTGGTTTCAAGTGGAACGACCTGAAGACCAAGGTCAATGGCACCACAAAACAAGAGATCTTCTGGCGAAGGACCTTCAAGCTGGAGTCGAGACTCTTTGGTGCCAGGAAAGAGGGGAAGCAGCTCTTTGGTTGCGAGATCAGCACCGATGGGGTCGGGTGCTCGATCACCACACTCAGATATAAGATCCTGGAGAAGAAGGGCCCCGATGCCAAGCCGGTACCCAAGACCAAGGTGAACACACTCACTCCCGAGCAGAAGATCCAGACCAGGGTCGGTCCCATTGACGACTCTCGGACCACATGGATCGGGATCGACCCTGGAGTGGGATCGATCTTCACCGCTGTCAATCGAGCACCCGGTCAACCATCCATCCAGGAGCAAGACGGTGTCAAGGTGACCAAGGCACAGCGCGCCAACGAGAAGATCGTGTCGTTCTCCAACAAGGAGTACCAGCATCGAACTGGCACCAGTCAGGCGACCAAGTGGATCCAGAGCACCCACAAGGCCCTTGATCTGCAGGAATGGATGAGCACCACACCAAGTCCCAAGATCCCCGGGGTGGCCCCCTTCCTGCGATACATTCGCCATGTGTTCGATGGAGACATGCTGGACAAACAGCTGTACTTCAACCTGACCCGGCGACGGCGATTCAAGCGACTCGATCTCCACAGCAAGCGACAGCGCACTGTCCACGAGATGTGCAAGCGAGTCATCGACCAGGCAGCAAGGGAGACCGAAGTGGTGATTGCCTTTGGGAATGCATCCTGGAAACAGGGGAAGGGATATGCCTCCAGTCCCAGGAGACTCAGGTTTGCCAAGTACTTTGAGCAATTCCACCATCACCAGAGACGCCCACCAGACCCATCCGTCTCCAAGATCCATGTGTGCTCGGTGAACGAGTTCAACACATCCCAGGTGTGCTCACATTGTCGGGAAGCCAAGCGACTCGAGTCACCCGAGTATCTTGATATCGAGAAACCACACTTTGTACGGAGCTGTACAAGCTGCCATACGCTGTGGGATCGAGACATCAATGCAGCCAGGAACATGATCTCGGTATGCCAGTCGATCATCGCCACAGGAGATCGACCGAGTGTATTCAAGACTGTGCTTCCGGTGTAACGTCCACTACTGGGACGTTGGGGCAAGACGGGGAGGGAGGGGGTACAAGACAAGACAGGACGGGGCAGAACAGGGCGGTGCTAGGCTACTCTAGCGGACGGGTGAGCTCGGGGAGCACTTACGTTTATTCACGATAAAACCGAACTCCAGACAAACGGGGGGAACGGGGGCAACCCGCAGGTATACCCTGCGGTGGCCTGCCTGCGGTGCGTGAAAACGCAAAGCGCAGCACAGGTCACGACCCACTGCGCCGCGCAGTACGCGCAGTACGCGCAGCACAGCGTCGGAGATACCATCTCCTACACTCCCACACTTAAGAAGGCTTCCTGCGAGGAGCCCTGCGTGTGCTCTTTATTTGGGGCTCCTCGAGGTGTTTACCGTATTTACTCAGCTCCTCGGGTGCATGGGACAAGTCCTCCAGTGTTTGCCATGTGTTGCCCGAGTGTGGGTAACCAACCCACTTGACATAAAACCGAAGTGACCCATCAGCCACTTTCTTGTGCCTCACGATCCTTTCGACTTCATATTCTTGAGTATAGTATTGTCCGAGGTCGTCTTCCAGTGGTGCGTCGTCCGGGACACCTTCGTCGGCGTCGGGGAACTGTGCTGGACTGCGGGTCGTGTGGCGACGCAGCTTGGACACATGGAAGACAGGATGGAGCTTGCTTCCAGGTGGCAAGTCCAACAGGTAGTTGAGGGGACTGGGTCGGGCCGCTATCTTGAACGGTCCTCGGTACTTGGGCAACAACTTCTTTGACTGGGCTTCGGGGACCTTGATGTTGTCGGCGTCCAGGTAGACAAGGTCTCCAACTTCAAAGGAGACATCCTGGTGTCGGCGGTCGTAGTACTTCGCCATCACTTGTTGCGCATCCGTGAGCGCGTCGGCGATCATCTTGTGTCGGACTTGATGATCTTTGACAAAGGCACTTGGTTTGGGAGGCAATCCAGCCGTGGACTCGGTCAGTGTCAAGGAGGTGGGAACATCAGGCTGGAATCCGTAGAGCGCCTCAAAGGGGCTCAAGCCAGTTGTGCTCGACTTGGCGGTGTTGTATGCAAACTCTGCATGACTCAGCTGTATGTCCCAGTCGTCTTGGCTGGTCGAGGCGTATGTCCTCAGGTATTGCTCGAGGGTGCGGATCGTCCGCTCGGACTGTCCATCCGTTTGTTGGTGGTGCGAGGTTGACATGTTCAGCTTGGTGCCGAGATGGTCGAACAGACTTGTCCAAAACAAGGAGGTGAATCGGGGGTCTCGATCACTGACGATGGACTTTGGGAGGCCGTGGTGCTTGAACACATGCTTGAAGAACAGCAGTGCAAGGTCAGGCGCGGAGCATGTCGTCTGGCACGGCACAAAGTGTGCCATCTTGCTGAACCTGTCGACAAAGACAGCGATTGCATCGTGGTCCAACTTGGTCGTCGGTAGATGCGTGATGAGATCCATGGACATGCTGGTCCAGGGGCGGTCGGGAACAGGCAGGGGTTGCAGCAATCCTTGCTCTCGGGTCGTGCGTGACTTGACCATCTTGCAGGTATGGCAGGACTCGATGTACTTCTCGACGGTGCGCTTCATTCCAGGCCAGTATGCGACTTTGGCCAGTCGGTCGTATGTCTTCTCGACTCCAAAGTGTCCAGCGAGGGGCGAGTCGTGGACCTCTTGGAGCAACTTGGTCTTCAACGACGGAATGTCCGGCACACAGACACGGCTGTCCTTCTTCAGGAGGAGCAGGCCATCACGCACTGTGTACTCGGATGATTCGTCGTCCTTGGGGAGCTTAGACACCTTTCGGAACAGTTCTCCGAACTGTTTGTCGTTGGCGATGTTGTCTCGGACAACATCCAGCATCGTGTTGTCGACACTGACAGTCGACTCGTACAGTGACGCCAATTGGTAGTCGGGGCGTCGGGACAGTGCGTCAGGCACCACATTGAGTTTGCCTTTCTGGTATACAACCTCGTAGTTGTACTCGGCGAGGAACTCCATCCATCGCGCTTGGCGTCGGCTCAGGTTCTTCTTGGTGTCGAGGTAACGCAGTGACTGGTGGTCCGTCACAATCTTGAAGGGCTTGGCGGTACCGTGGAGGTACACTCGGAACTTCTGCAGCGCGTAGATGATCGCAAGCTGCTCCTTCTCGTGCACGGGATAGTTGATCTCGTGTTGGGACAGTTTGCGCGACTCGAAGGCAACGGGCCTTCCCTCCTGCATCAAAACAGCTCCCACCGCAAAGTCGGAGGCGTCGGTGTGCACGGAGACATCCGTGTTCGGGTCGAACACAGCGAGGACAGGAGCGTTCGTCAAGGCGTGCTTGAGGGTCTCGAACGCTTGGCGTTGTGGGTGGTCCCACACGAAGGGGCACTCTTTGCGGAGTAGGTCTGTGAGTGGACCGGCAGTGCGCGCCAGATCGGGGATGAATCGGCGGTAGTAGTTGACGAGACCGAGAAACGACTGCACGTCAGAGACGCATGCGAGCGGCGGCCACTCGACCACAGACTTGACCTTGGCGGGGTCGACTTCGATTCCTCTTCCTGAGACAACGTGTCCCAGGAACGGGACTTGATTCTTGAAGAACTCACACTTGGACAGTTTGGCATACAACTTGTGCTCGCGTAGCTTGGCCAGCACGCGGGCGACATGACCTTCATGGGTCGCTTCATCCTTGCTGTACACAAGGATATCATCCAGGTACACGATGACAGAGTTGTCGAGCTCTTGGCGGAACACATCGTTCATCAGCTGCATGAACGTGGCAGGTGCGTTCGTCAATCCGAACGGCAGCACTAGGAACTCGTACAGTCCGTAGCGAGTCCTGAAGGCGGTCTTGTGGACATCATCCTCGTGGATGCGGATCTGATGGTAGCCTGAGCGGAGGTCTATCTTGCTAAAGACCTTTGCTCCACTCAGACGATCCATCAACTCGTCGATCCTGGGCAACGGGTAGGTGTTCTTGATGGTCTGTTTGTTTAGTGCGCGATAGTCGACGCACATCCTGAGATCACCTTCTTTCTTCTTGACAAAGAGCACTGGTGCACCATACGGTGACTGGCTCGGGCGGATGAACCCATGGGCGAGGAGGTCATCCAACTGGCGCTTGAGTTCGTCCATCTCCGTCAGCGACAGTTGGTACGTCGGTCTTGACGGAGGCGACGAGCCTGGTTCGATGTCGATGCGATGATCGACGGTGCGTTGGGGTGGCAGGCATTGTGGCAACTGGTCGGGGAATACGTCCTTGTACTCGTCGAGCAGCTTGGTCACCACAGGCGGGGGACCGGGACCGGCTTGGTCGGTGTCGTCGACCTCACGCACGACACAGAGGAACGACGTGTCCTTCTTGATCAGCCTCTTGAATTGCATGGCTGAGAGGAGAGGTGGCATGTTGGGTGAGGCCATGCCCTGCAGGACAATGTCAGGGCCAACACGGACAGTGCGGCCTTTCCAGTCGACGACTGGAGTCGGCTCGGCACGAGCAAGCCAGCTCATGCCGAGGATGGCATCGAACTTGGTGTCGATCACTTGGAACAACAGGACAGGATGGTACTTGGGATGGAGGGCCACTCGCAGGACCACTTGGTGTGTGCACTGCTGCACACGATCGTCTGCAAGCGCCACACTCATCGGCGACTTCTTCTTGGTTGCATGTATGTTGAGCTCCTGGAGCAAGCGTCTGCTGACAAAGTTGCAGCTTGCTCCAGAGTCCACCATCATTCGGACGGTGTGACCTTGGACGGTGGCAGGGAGGTACAGCAGGGACTCTTCATGGTCCTCCTGCACAGCCTCCTGCACCATGACTTGACTTGGGGGAACGGGCGACACTTGGTCTTGGTTGGCTTCATCACGGCCACTCGGACATTTTGGATAGGGTTCGGCCATTGCGGGGGCCTGCGGCGTCAGCACGCCATTGCACACGACGTCCACGGCTTGCGGACACATGTCGGAAGCATCCGACACACACGACTTGACAGGGGTGAGGGCACAGGCGGTCCTGTCCCTCAAGGGTTCTTGATTTTCTTTTTTGTTTTGGTTTTCAATTTTGGTTTTCTCTTCACGTTCGTGGAGAGGCAGGCGGCTTGCGCCACCATGCACCTCTCGCACGACGCACAACACTTGGTTTGTTTCTCCTTCGGGGGAGGGGGCGAGGTGAACTTCCTCTGGAGACGCGTGGACTGCATTGAGCAATCCACGGCGTTGGTCTCCTACTAGGGCTCCAGAGCCACCTAGTAGGGTCGGCCGTTTCCCGACTTCATGGGGCACTCCTTGGCCTGGTGTCCCGGTCGGTGACAGAAGAAGCAGGAACCATGGCGGAGGTCCTCCTGCTTCTGTCTGTCCTTGGGGGAGACAGTGGCAGCTTGCTGGAACCGGGAGCGGGGAGGGCCACGAGCCTCCATGGCGTTGACGTCAACGTCCATGGGCTCAGGCATGGGTCTTGCGGGCGGGGCCGGGCGAGGCGGACGGGCTGGGACGTGATGAGACCGATGGCCGCCTGCCAGCTGCGGGTAGAACTGGCGGCCATGGTACTGGACGTTGTCGAGGTTCTCGGCAACGTCCATCATCACGTCCAGGGACTTGCGGGCATCAGGGTTGCTGGCGATGTACTCTCTGATCTTGGGCTTGAGGCCCTTCTGGAAGAGGTACATCGCATCAGCAGAGCCCAGCTCCTCAATCTGGGAGGAGAGGTCTTCAAACTCCTCGATGTAGCGGGTCACAGAACCACGCTGCACGAGAGAGTATAGCTTGTCACGGGCAATGAGTTCAGCATTGGGGCTGCCGAAGCGGCGACGGAGGCGGTCCTTGAAGTCGTCAAACACACCTTCGCTCTGCTCGTCGAACCCTTGGCGGCGGTACCAACGGTACGCCTGGTCCTTTAAGCAGAGCTTGGCGGCGACGATGTGGTGGGTGGGGGCGACTTGGGCAGCATCGAGGTAGTCCTCGAGTTGCTGCAGCCAGTCCTCCACCGAGGAGGAGCGGCTCTTCCCAGTAAACACTGGGGCACGGAAGGTCTTGAGGAAGGCTTCCGGAAGTGGGCGGGGGTTGCTCATGGCAGGGGCAGGCTCCAGGGACAGAGAGGAGAGTCGGTCGGCAAGAGAGGCGGGATCCAGCTTGAGGATCTAGAAAGAGGACAAACAGGACGAAAACAAGACGAGGATTTCCGATGCTACCATGTAACGTCCACTACTGGGACGTTGGGGCAAGACGGGGAGGGAGGGGGTACAAGACAAGACAGGACGGGGCAGAACAGGGCGGTGCTAGGCTACTCTAGCGGACGGGTGAGCTCGGGGAGCACTTACGTTTATTCACGATAAAACCGAACTCCAGACAAACGGGGGGAACGGGGGCAACCCGCAGGTATACCCTGCGGTGGCCTGCCTGCGGTGCGTGAAAACGCAAAGCGCAGCACAGGTCACGACCCACTGCGCCGCGCAGTACGCGCAGTACGCGCAGCACAGCGTCGGAGATACCATCTCCTACATCCGGACCCACCCAAAACAAAGTGATTGCCAACCAGGACGGGAAACAATCGCACGACCTGCCCACTGGGGTCTACGGATCAGCAGACATGTGTCGCTGATGCCAGGAAGTGACTGTCCCGTTTCTTTCTGGTTTGACTGTAAAGAGAGGATTTCATGCTATCCCAAGACAACAAATCACCTCGCTTGAAAACAAACAATTTCAAGATAACAATAACAAAGGTGTGCAAATCATGAAAGTACATTCTCGTGGATTCACCAGAATCGGAAATAGCCATCGAGCTCCAATTTTCGATCGAGTTTCCCCCAATGAACTCCTTCGCAGCAACTTCATCGAACCAATGAACGACGATTTCTTCCGCGGCACGAAAGATACGCGCCTTCCTGGATTCGGGACGAATCGACTGGAAGAATGCGTTGATCTCGCTGTTGCCCTCGATGAGCTGCTTCACCGACTTGAAGTTGCCGGGGCTGGTGTCGATGGGCTGGGTGAAGGCGTGCTTGAGTGCAGCGACGTCGAGCGCCTGGAATGACCAAGACTCGTCAGGTTGCTCCTCGATGACGGGTTGAGCTGGGGGAGTCGCTTTCTGAACCGGAGCCGGAGGAGCCGTGGTTGCTGGCGTGGCCGGGGTGACAGGGGCCGTGGGTTCAGGAGCGGTGCCCAAGGTCGATTTGATTTCTCTGAAGATCAGGGTCACCATGCTCTCAGGAATCAATGGTTTTCCTTCCGCGGCAGTCTTGACGATGCTACTGAGAAAGCGCCCCGTGAGGCGCTCATCGGCTTCGATTTTCATCTTTGCCTTTCGTTCAGCGGATCGATTCATTGCTTCCAACTTGGCGAGCTCCAACTTGGAAGCATGGTCAAGGACAGCATTGACCTTGTCCATGGGCATCGATACAGCGCACACATGATGGATGACTCGTTCCATCATCGTTTCACCATCGTTACCCGCATCGAGCTGATCGGCCTTCCTCTTGCGAGTCAGGGTAGAGCTCGTCGTGGGCAGCTGATCGACAACGACGGGTTCCTCAACAAAGGTGGTATCGCCATCCTCGGTGACCTCCTCCATGGTCTCGGGATCAGCGGCTCCGTTGTTGTCGAGGCTGCCTGGCTCCTCAACGATCAGATCGTCGTTGGAAGGAATGGGTGCTTCCACAGTGCTGCCGAGATGAGACGATCCATCGGGCTGGTTGGAAGTCTCGATCGATCCGGCAGAGCCGACGGGGGCCGGCAAGCCAATTGCTTCGGCTGCGTTGCTGGGGGGCTCCTGGTTGGCAAGATCGGGAGAGTCATCGAAATCCATCGCATCGGCGACTTGATCGCTATCTGGAGCTGGGTCAGCCAAGCCGGGTGAGACGCTGTGCGTGAGTGTGACCTCGATGATGGGTTCGGCGGAACGGGAGGTCTCGGGAACCACGGTTGCTTGTCCAGTGAGGAAGGTTTCGAGCTTTGTGAAATCTCTGTCGTGCGGGAAATCTCTTGAGACTCTATCTGAATCAAGGCAGACATTTTGGAATGGATGGACAAGTCTGTAGGGGTGTGGTCTGTAGTTGTTGATGATGGGGAACTCCAAACCCTTGAAGAGCTTCTGGCGTTTTCGCTCGTATGCAGTGCCATATGCCCTTCTCCAAATCTCGCGACGAGCGATCGTGGTGTGGCAGATGAAGTATGGGCGAACCCTCTCCTGCTCGGCCAAGTCGTCGGGGCACACAAGAGCCACGTATACGTGGCGAAGAGCCTCGATCTCGTATTGATTGGCAAAGAAATCGAAGTGGTGACTGAGCTCCAGTCCATATTCACCAATCTTTTCGAAATTGCGCTGAACAAGCTGATCGATCAAACGAAGCGTGTCGCCCCAATGATCTGCAGGACGATCCTCTTTGATCCTGTCGTATTGCTCAAGGAAATAAGTGAGCAACACGAAGATATATCGACGAACATACGCAATGTCGTCAATAGACCAGATGCAAGAGGCAAAGACAGGGTGTCCATTCCCGTCGAAACCTCTGGGTCGATCGAGTTTGGGGTTGGTCATCTCGTACGTCAAGTTCCAGTGATCTACACCGCGGATTCTGGTCCTGACGTCCAAAGAGAAGTGCTCCCTATAGGGAGGAATGTGAGAGGCCACAGTGTTCTGGCGCCCATTAGTTCGGTGGAAGTGTAACGTATCCTTCTTCCTGCGAGGCATTTTGAGAGATGAGTATCAAAGACGAAACCCCCTCGGTCGCTCTTTTATTGCCGGGTCGGCCTGGGGGAGGGTGACCCACCTGTCTGTCCAGAGTCGGAGGATGGCGAAGGGAAAAGAGGGCTCCAGTCGCCCCTGTTCATGTGGTCCAACTCCACCTTCCAGGTGCTTCTTCTGCAACGTCATTGGTCGCAGAGTGAGGTCGCACTGCTGCGCACGGATTCTGTGCTCGCCGTTCTGACACAGACACCAGCGCTCACGGGGCCGCTGACCTCTCCACGATTCGTGAGTTGTACGCTCCTGTGCATTTGGAGAGGGCATGTGCGTATCCTTTTCCCTTCCCCGCTCCATGCCCACCAACCACACACCCCCACACCACCCCATCCCATCACCGTGGTGTTTGTGGATATGCAAATGGCTCGTAAGAGACTCAGAAGAGACCTATCGAGTGGTCAGAAGTGATTCGGAAGTGAAACTTTTCATGGAGTGTGATAATATTATCATCTAACACTGAAAACATGGAGAGAATACCAGCGCGGAACTCACTCGGAAGTGATTTGGAAGTGAATATGGAGTGAGAAGCTCTTTTGGGGGCGGTTGGGGCATCGGAGAAGAAAAACAAATATTTCAAGAAAAAAAAGATAATTCAAGGCCGGGAAGGATTTGGGGCCCACCCACCCATTCATGGAGTGGACTCGGAAGAGACTCGGAAGAGAGGCTCACTCGATAAACATGGTGTGGGGCTGAAAACTCGTAAGAGACTCGGAAGTGAAACGTCGTCGCTTGTGAGCGGGTCGGAAGAGGATTGGAAGAAGGGGTTGTACACTGCATTCACTGCATGCATACCTCGCGAATGAGCCTCTCGTAGCGAGACCAAATAGCAGCACCATTGTTCTTGACCATGATGGAGCGCTTGAGCAAGTCCATAAACACGGCTTGAACCTGTGGATCGTTTCTGGCTGCAACGATATGGCTCGGAGCGATCATATCAACCCAGTGATCAGGACGATCCCAGTGATGTGGTGCACTGGGGGAAATGCTGAGGATTTGCTGGCGTGCTATCATGCTGCCATCCCTGTACGCCATGAGCAGCCTATACTGATACGTCGCCTTGCAGTTCATCCATCGAGGGAAGCCAATCGAGTTCTTCATGCAGTAGATTGACAGAAGGGTCCTGTCCCTTTGTTAGGGATAGCTCCTGCTTGTTCTCCACTTTGACTGCACACTTGGCTATTCTTTTGCCTTTCTGTTTGTTTGTGTGTAGCCTTGCAGTTCCCCTCCGATTTTCCGCCTTTTGCCTGTCTTTTCCGCTCCTTCCGCACTTCCGTTTTCCCGCGCTGCTCCGCTTCCTTTGTCTTCTTCGCACGCGCCGGTTTGTTTGTGCACGCGCCTTGCTGCGATTGGTTGCAATTCGGCTGCCGGTCATGTGTCCCCCCACCGGTGACTCATGACCTGCCTGACCGCCCCGATCTCTTGTTCATCTCGCATGCATTTGCCCCAACCTTATACTTGACCAATCCGCTTCTTGGACGTTGAGTCACATTGCTTCGCCTTTGCACGTTTCTCCTGCCAGGTGCTTCGCTTTTGCTTGCGCCTCTCTCGCTTTGGTTCTCTGCCTGTCTCGGTGGTCCTTCTCGGCCCTCGTTCGTGCATCGCCCCCTTCGCCCTGCTCGATCGCCCACTTTTCCCTCCCTTGGCCGCCCTTCGCTGCCAAGTCCGGACTTGTCTATAAATAGCCTGACCCCCGCGATGTGTAGTCGAACCTTAGCGTTCAAAATAGGACTAAATAAAGTGCCTTCTACTTTATTCTCTGAGTGTTCCTCACGTCTCATTTCGAGACAAGTCTTATCTTGAACGGATCTTTGCTTCCCTCGCTCCCTCTCCGAGTCCACTTCGGACTCTACCCTTGCTTTCCCTGAGCTCACTTCGAGCTCACTTCTTCTTTTGCCGTTGAGTCCCCTTTGGACTCTAACATCATTTTGAACGCTCCCTCTTGGCTTCCCGGCCTTTCTTCTTCTTTCGCCTCTCTTTCCCTCGTCGATCCGATGGCTGAGCCTGCTGCACCCCCGGCAGATCTCAATGCGTACCTGGCGCGCATGGAGGAGCGTATGAACGCCCTCATGACCCAGAACGCTGCTCTCCATCGTCAGATCCAAGATCTGCAAGCTCCCGCCGCCGCTCCCCGCCAGGTCTACCAGGTGAACAAGCCCAAGGAGTTCCTAGGTTCCCGCGACGAGACGACGGCCTTCCTCGCCCAGTGCCACCTCGTCTTCCTCGCCGATCCTGCCTTCTTTGCGCCCGAGCGCCAGAAGGTCCTTTATGCCACCTCCTTCCTCCGCGGCGAAGCTTTCAAATGGTACGAGGCCGCCTTTTATATGGCCAACCGCTTCCCGGCTTCCTTCGCGGATTTTGAAGTTGCCCTCAAGTCGACCTTCGGTGAGGACACGGCCTCCTCGCAAGATAAGGCCTTGAACGACCTCAAACGCTTGGTCCAGCTCAAGTCCTGCCAAGCCTTCGCCACCCGCTTCGTCCAGCTCGCCGCCCGCGTCCAGACTGACGAACCCACCAAGATGCACTTCTTCAAGGAGGGTTTGAAGTCTGAGGTCAAGTTCCACCTCATCGGTCTCCGCCCCGCTCCCGCTTCCTTGCCCGAGTTGATCAAGGCAGCGGTCGAGTACGACGATGCCCTCCATCGTCTCAAGGTCTCCTCCCGTTCCCAACCTCCTCCTCCTTCTTCTCGCTCTGCTCCCCATCACCACCATTCTCCCGCGCATGTTTCTTCTTCCTCCTCTTCTGCACCCACTCCCATGGACCTTGACTCTGTCTCGGTCCGCCCTGCTAAGCTCTCCGACGTCGAGAAAAAGCGACGTCGTGAGCAGGGTCTCTGCTTGTACTGCGGGGAAAAGTCTTGTCCCGGCAGTCGCGATGTTCAGCAGTGCCCGGTTCTGGTCAAACGGAACTCGGGAAATGCTCACAGCCGAGCAGCACCTCGCAAGTAAGCGAGGTGGTCTGTTCGGCGATACGAACATCTTCCCCCTCTGACTCGTCACTATCGGACGATAAGCTTCTTCTTCCGGCCACTCTTATCGTCATGAGTCTTTCTGGCCCGGTCTCCATCTCCCTTTCTGTTTTTATTGATGATGGATGTTCCGCTCTTGCCCTCATTGATCCTGCCTTTGCCGATCTCCATAAACTCTCTCTTATCCCTCTTTCTACTCCTTACTCCGTTTCCCTTGCTGATGGTTCTTCGGCCGGTTTCATTCGTTTCCAAACCGCGCCTTTGACTCTGACCATTGGTTCCCACACCGAGTCGATTTCTTTTCTTGTGACTCGACTCTCCACCACTCCCATCACTCTTGGTCTTCCCTGGATGCGCTTGCATAATCCAGTTGTTAATTGGAAGTCCCTCTCCCTTTCATTCTCCGATCCCTCTTGCCTTGCTGATGGACACATCCTCGCGGATGTCTCTGCTTCTTCCTTGGACACTCCGTCCGCTTCCGGCTCCTCGCCTCCCCCTTCGGGCACTTCGCCTTTGACTCCTCCTCCCTCCGGTCCTTCCCTTACACCGGTTCCCTCCTTTGGCACTTCGCCTTCCCTTTCTTCCCGCCTTGACTCTGCTTCGCTTTCTGAAGAGCCAACGGCTTTATCTTCACCCGACATTGAGCTCGTTAATGCGGCGAGTCTTCTCCGTCTTGCACGGGAAGACAAGCTCGACATTTTCGCTGCCCAAATGGATATCCGTCCTCCTTCGCCGGAGACGTATCCTACGGTGTCGATAAGGTCCGTGCTCACGACGAAGGTGTATGCCGAGTCTGGCACCCCTGTTGACTCTCGAGGCGTCCCACTCAAATACAATGAGTTTGGCGACGTTTTCAGCCTCAAGTCTGACCCTCCTTCTTCCTTGCCTCCTCATCGTCCGTATGACTTGTCCATTGAGTTTGTACGGACCGAGGATGGAAAGGAACCTCGTTTGCCAAAGCCGGGGAAAGTCTATCCTTTGTCCCCGGCCGAGGAATCTGCTCTTTCGGAGTATCTGACCAACGCCCTCGCACGTGGTTGGATCTCCAAATCCTCTTCTCCCGTTGGTGCTCCCTGCTTCTTCGTGAAGAAGCCCAATGGTGGTCTTCGCCTTTGCGTCGACTACCGAGGCCTCAATGCCATCACGAAGAAGAACCGTTACCCACTTCCCCTCTTCCAGGATCTTCTGGATAAACTTTCTTCTGCCCGCGTCTTCTCACACCTCGACCTTCCTGATGCTTACCACTTGGTTCGTGTCAAGAAGGGCGATGAGTGGAAGACTGCTTTTGTTTGCAAATCTGGCTCATTTGAGTACAATGTTATCCCCTTTGGTCTTTCGAATGCCCCCGCTGCTTTTCAGTTTTTTATGAACGACATCTTCTCGGACCTCCTTGGTGTCTGTGTTGTCATTTATCTTGACGACATCCTGATCTTCTCAAAAGATCCCCAGGAGCATGAGGAGCATGTTAAGCTTGTTCTCTCTCGCCTTCGTGAACACTCCCTTAAGGTCAATCCGGCCAAGTGTTCTTTTGACCTTTCTGAAGTTGACTTTCTCGGCATGATCATTTCTGCCGATGGCATCAAAATGGACCCTGCCAAGGTCGAGGCCGTTTCCCTTTGGCCTGTTCCCTCTTCTGCTCGCGATATCCAAGTCTTTATTGGTTTCGCAAACTTTTACCGCCGCTTCGTCAAGGACTTTTCCGCACTTGCTCGTCCTTTGACTTCCCTCACTACCAAATCCTCCACCTTCTCTTGGTCTCCCGAGGCCCAAGAGGCTTTTGATTCTCTTAAACTTTCCTTCACTTCCGCACCTATTCTTCGATACTTTGATTTCTCTAAACCCGCTGTCATCGAGCCCGATGCTTCTGACTTTGCTTTGGGTGCCGTCCTTTCTCAGTTTGACCCTGACGGCGCTCTTCACCCCGTTGCTTTTCACTCTCGGCAATTCCGTCCCGCCGAGGTGAATTATGACACTCACGACAAAGAGCTCCTCGCCATTGTCGATTCCTTTACCGCCTGGCGTCATTACTTGATGGCTGCCGACCCTGATATTCCCACTCTTGTTTTCTCTGATCATCAGAACCTTACCCGGTTCACTGCCGCTTCTCAACTTTCTCGCCGCCAGTTCCGGTGGGCCCAATTCCTTTCTGACTTTGCTTTTCGCATTTACCACCGCCCTGGTCGTCTCAACACCAAAGCCGATGCTCTCAGTCGCCGTTCTGACTTTGAGATAAAGCCTGGTGACTCCCTCCACTCCACCAACTTCCTTCAGCTGTTCGAGTCTATTTCTCTCGACAGCATCACTGTTATCGGCTCGAATCCCGACTTTCTTTCCGAGATTCGAGCTGCCACCCTTTCTTGTTCCCTCCTTTCTGACTTTAACGCCAAACGTCTTGATGGCGATTACTCCTTCCGTGACGGTCTCCTTTACTTTAAAGACCTGATCGTTGTCCCTTCCCCCGAGCTCCAGCTCAAAGTGTTTGAGCAACGTCACTGCTCCGCTGCCGCTGGTCACTTTGGTCTTGCCAAGACCGTTGAGCTCGTCTCCCGGGACTTTCACTGGCCCCGGCTTCGTAAGTCTGTGCGTCGCTTCATTGCTAATTGTGAAGCGTGCCAGCGAGCCAAGCCGTCCCGTCACTCCCCTTATGGTTTACTTCATCCTCTCCCCGTTCCTTCCGAACGTTGGTGGGACCTGTCGATGGACTTCATCACGGATCTCCCACCTTCGAACGGTTTTGACTCGATCTTCGTGGTTAAGGACCGCCTGTCCAAACAAGCACACTTTGTGCCCACCACGAAGACGGTTACAGGCGAGCAAACCGCCGAACTCTTCCTCTCCCACATCTTCCGCTTGCATGGTTGTCCCCGGTCTATTGTTTCGGACCGAGGAACTCAGTTTACTTCGGCCTTCTGGAGGCGCTTCAATGAGCTTCTGAAGACGAAGATTTCCCTTTCTTCTGCCTTCCACCCCGAGACCGACGGTTCGACCGAGGTTCTCAACCAGGTCATCGAGCAGTATTTGCGTATCCATTGCAATTACCTGCAAGACGACTGGACCCTTCACCTTCCCCTTGCCGAGTTCACTTACAACAACTCGGAAAACACCTCCACTGGCATGACTCCCTTCTTTGCAGTCCATGGCCATCACCCCATTTTCGATCCCTCTATCATTCGTGATCCCTCTGTTGTGCCCTCTGCCGAAGAACGTGTCGACCGACTTCAGACCGTTCTCGAGGATCTCAAGGCCAACCTCCGGGTTGCCCAAGAGTCCTACACTGTGCAGGCCAACAAATCCCGTCTCCCCACTCCCGACATCTCCGTTGGCGACCTCGTTTTTCTGGATCGTCGCCACATTCGCACCCTTCGTCCCTCCAACAAGCTTGACCAGAAAAAGCTTGGCCCCTTTAAAGTTCTTCGCCGCATCAACCCCGTTGCCTTTGAGCTTAAACTCCCTTCCACACTTAAAGTTCACCCCGTTTTCCATGTATCCCTCCTTGAACCCCGAACGAAGGACATTGTTCCCGAGTTCACCCAACCAGAACCACCTCCCATTCTTGTTAACTCCCAGGAAGAGTTTGAGGTCGAGACTGTTCTCGATTCTCGGCTCTTCCGTGGTCGCTTACAGTACTTGGTTCAGTGGAAGGGCTATTCCGAGACTGACCGGTCTTGGGAGCCCGCTGCCAATGTTTCCCACGCCACTGATCTTGTTGCTGACTTCCACCTTCGCTATCCCTCAAAGCCGAAGGCGACGTCCGGAGTTCGTCGCTAAGGAAGGGGATGATGTTAGGGATAGCTCCTGCTTGTTCTCCACTTTGACTGCACACTTGGCTATTCTTTTGCCTTTCTGTTTGTTTGTGTGTAGCCTTGCAGTTCCCCTCCGATTTTCCGCCTTTTGCCTGTCTTTTCCGCTCCTTCCGCACTTCCGTTTTCCCGCGCTGCTCCGCTTCCTTTGTCTTCTTCGCACGCGCCGGTTTGTTTGTGCACGCGCCTTGCTGCGATTGGTTGCAATTCGGCTGCCGGTCATGTGTCCCCCCACCGGTGACTCATGACCTGCCTGACCGCCCCGATCTCTTGTTCATCTCGCATGCATTTGCCCCAACCTTATACTTGACCAATCCGCTTCTTGGACGTTGAGTCACATTGCTTCGCCTTTGCACGTTTCTCCTGCCAGGTGCTTCGCTTTTGCTTGCGCCTCTCTCGCTTTGGTTCTCTGCCTGTCTCGGTGGTCCTTCTCGGCCCTCGTTCGTGCATCGCCCCCTTCGCCCTGCTCGATCGCCCACTTTTCCCTCCCTTGGCCGCCCTTCGCTGCCAAGTCCGGACTTGTCTATAAATAGCCTGACCCCCGCGATGTGTAGTCGAACCTTAGCGTTCAAAATAGGACTAAATAAAGTGCCTTCTACTTTATTCTCTGAGTGTTCCTCACGTCTCATTTCGAGACAAGTCTTATCTTGAACGGATCTTTGCTTCCCTCGCTCCCTCTCCGAGTCCACTTCGGACTCTACCCTTGCTTTCCCTGAGCTCACTTCGAGCTCACTTCTTCTTTTGCCGTTGAGTCCCCTTTGGACTCTAACACCCTTTCAGGGAGACTGTGTCCCGACGAATCCGACAACCAATGCCAGACGGACGATGCTTGGGGCGCATTTCGGATCCACCCGTGTCGGCAGATGTCGTAGATCTGCTGGGCGCTGTCGTGATAACCACCTCGAGCGCATTCGACCAGAAGATTCAAGGCTCTGGTCGGGTTGGCATCAGTACCTCTGCCATATCGATAGCATTCGTGGAGGGCGAACTTGACCTTCAGTTCGGATGCGTCCAATGACTCGAGCCACTGAAAGTACGCCTGGTTGATCTCGATCGATGGTGATCCGAGGAAGATGTCACGTTCTTCGAGGAGGAAGTCGTCGAGCGCCTTGGATTTGTTGCTCAAGACGGAAAGGCATTTGCTGACGATTTCGCCATTCCAGACCATGCGCTTGACAAACCACATTGCAGTGGGGACGTGCTTGGCCTCGAGGAGTCGTCGTACGATCTGGAACTCGGAGTTGTCTCGGCGGAAACGAGTGACGACTCGGACGAACTCGGCTGAAACCACGGTCCCCGGAATGAACTTGAACCACTTGAGGTTGAAGGCAACTGGTCCAGCAGGGAAATACTTGACCAGTTGGACGCAGTCATCGGAGAGGAGCCTGGTGTGGTGTTGCTTGTTGAACCACTCGGCCCAGATGCGAATCCCCACGGTCTTGGTCGAGAGCAGAGCCCTCACGTCGCTGGAAGTTGCCTTGAGCTTCGCGAGACTGCAAGCGGGGAGCATCTCGATCAGCTCGGGGACCGAGAGGACGACCAGGAGGACAGAAAGGGTTTCTTCGATTCCCAAGGAGACCAGTTGTTCATGGACACGTTGGCGCTTGGCAGTACGGGTGCTCATCGAGCGGGTGATGCGCTTGGTAGCCTGGGAGGACATGGCGATGAAGGAAAGTTGGCTAGACGGGGTGCTCCAGCAACGCACACCGGGCTCCCTCATATACCCCATGCCCGGCCGCTTGGGGACGATTGTGTCTGTCACTCGAATTCCTGTCACTCGAATTCCTGTCAGCCATGACAGATTCTACCATTCCTGTCAGCCACGTGATCCAAATTGAGACGATACGGTCCGTGCACGCGCTACTCCGCTGTAGTCGGTGGTTTGCGCATTGGGAAGCGCGCACCGTCTTGCAACGTGATGCCGCGGGTTCGATCCCCGTATCCCACCATCGGGGCGTATCTTTGGCCGCCCTCGGAGGAAGTTAGTCCGCCCCCATCTGGTGATAGCGGATGACGCACGAGCTCCCTCAGAGTTCATGCCGAGCGTGCCGGTGGGGCCCAGCTGCTTAAGCCTTTGGTCGCTATTGGTGCGTTCCGAACTTTTTTTTTCACCACTCTCGACGCCTGATTTTTGCATCGTTACGAAACATCATCCGGGACAACACCCCACACCCCACGCTCGAAAATAGAGTTTCGCATGAATGGACGTCACTTTATTGATTTAATCATTGGAAACAAACGACTCGACGAAAATATAAACGGGCTCGGGACGATCGTGAAGGCGGCGATAGTTCTCACCCCAGGTGATGCGCTTAGAACACTGGTGCATATTCTGATTCACCACCAACTGCTGGATAACAAAGCGACAGGTATCCATATAGGAGGGGAACTTGAATGACTTGGAAATGTCCAGCTTCACCAGGCTCGTAACGTTCAATCCGGCAAAATCCAAGAAGCTCCTTGGCATGACGATGTGTTGAAGATTGGGGATTTCAGGCATACCTGCGAAACTCCTGAGCCTGGTGCACTTGGAGAGATCGAGTTTATGGAGGTTTGTGCGAGGTAGCTTGTTCAATTCGTTCAGGAACTTGAAATTCTCGGGAAGTGCCAATGAGCGAAGAGTCACCACATTCTCGAGGTGTGCGTCGATTTCAACCATATTGATACAGCGGGAGAGATCAAGACTGGCCAATCTGGGAAGCGTTGCGTCGGCCAGTGGTTCAAGGGAGACGACATCCTTCGGCAACTTAAGCTCGAGCAGCTGTGGAACCGTCTTCGTGATGCCCAAGAGAGACACCAGCTGTTCACAATTCTCCAGTCCAGTGATAGTTGTCATGGCCGGAAGGTTCAAGGGCATCCCAAAGAGATTCAAGGTTGTGCCAGGCGGGATCTCCAAATTCTTGAGTCGGGGAAGGGTGAACGGAAAGTCGGATAGTCTCGTCAAGTTTCGGTTATTGACAATCCCAGTAAGGAGCTCGAGCTCCTTCATAGACTTGGGAAGGCCGGCCGTGGTCTCGAGGCTCGTCGGAAGTCGGAGAACTTTCAACTTGTCCATCGCCGAGGGCATCTTCACAATTGACTCGAGAGAGGTGCAGCCTGAAAGATCGAGCATTTCCAAACCCGAGAGCACCTCTGGCATCCTCCCGAGTTTTTGAAGACCAGAGATGCCCAAAGACAGATCAGTCAAAAATGGCATGCTTGGGAAATCGCTCCAGTGGAAAGAAACATCGGGGTTCAGCATCGGGTAAGATGTGGAGTACTCGATTGCCAATTTGACGACATTCGAAAGAGCAAGGGGCCAGTCGCCTACAGTGCTGAAAGTACAGAAATGCAAGTGCAAGAAAACATCCTGAGACACCTTAGACGACGTCCTAGGCTCTGAAGGGGTCAACATCTCGATCTGAAATCGTTCAAGGGGAAGGAGTCTATCCTGGGCACCGAGAATTCGAAGCGGGGGCTGAACATCATCAGGGGTGCGGAAGATCAAAAGATGACGATGGGTCGAATCCACATCCTCAACCATGGGGAGATACTCAGACAACATCATGGCCGGGTCAAAGAGAGCAAAAACATCAGAGTGAACAAAATCAAACACTCCAGAGTCGAATGATTGACTCTGCTCCCTCAACTTTGCCTGAATGTATCTGGTCTTCAAGGGGCCCGTGATTTCCTTGAGGATATGCTCGAAGTGACGAACGTTGTCCGTAGGGATGCTTCTAAGCCTTTCGCACTTCATGACCGATTTGCGGAACTCGGCGTTGTTGGCCACGGCTTCCCAGAGGTGGCGCTCGGACTTGAACCAGGTCGACGAACGCGGAATCCTCAACTTGACCGGGGACTCAAAACCTCCAACGAAGCTTTCTCTTCTGCCTTCAACAAAGCAATAGAGCCCTTGGAGGACGAGGTGTAGGTTCTCGAGGTCGAAGGTGCCCCAGTCCTGCAACCCGAAATGTTCGACGATACGTTGGCACATGGCAGGATAGGCATCATTTCGCAACACAATATCGTCCGTGTATACCATGACCATGCCTGTGCCAACGTATCTGTCAAAGTCCGGGATGCTGACTTTGAAGATCTCCTTGAGCTCGGCGTACTTCATATCTTCGGGCGGGGGCTGAGGGCCTTCATATATGCGCTTGCTGGACGTGCCGATAGGCGGGCAGTATTCTGCTCGACGCTTGCCTTTGTCCACAACGACGACTGGAGAATTTGTGGATTCGCTGGACGACGGTGTAAAATCTTCGAGGGGGTCATGCTCATCCTCAGATTCAAAGGCATCGTCGGGCAGCTCTCGTTCGATGAGTTGGGTGTCGGTGATTCGATCTCCGACGAGCAATGTATCGGACTGGAGCGACTCGTCTCCGCTGTCGTCCAGTGAACCACCACCCATGAGGGGTTTGCAGTTGCTCCTGTTTCCCGGCTTGAACTGGAATGGGTTCATCGTTGCGGGGGGAATAGCGACGAAAACGCAAAAAGGGGGATGTGGGGATTTTTCTTCTCTGCCGTGCCCCAGGACCTCGGACGGCGCGAACGCGACCCTGGGGCACAGTGCTGCGCACGGATCCACGTGTTTGAAGCGCCACCCGTGGTATGGCGACGGGCGGGATCCCGGTCATGGAGTGCGCAAGTGCCACTTCCAATATCATCTGGTCATCGATAGCGCTCCACAATCCGTGAGTTGCACGCACTTATGCATTAGATTTCGGGATTCATGGAGAGGGTGTGTCGGGGTTCTGCATTAGGTTTCATCATGGAGTGAGTGCTATTTGTACTCTCATTTGTTCTCAAGGAGTGATGTTGTCGAGTGAGGGTGTGGTTGTGTCGGTGCTGTGTATTAGAAATGAGTTTCGTGGAGTGAGGGTCTTGTCGTCGTTGCCAGCTACCCCAAAATACAGAAAATTCAAAAAATTTCAATCACTTTCTTGGCCAGGACTTTCAACCAGTTCATCCAGGACCCATGGAGTGGGGCGGGTTTCAGAGCGAACGCAGCCACTCCATGAACCATGGAGACGTTTCGGGTCATGTGTATTAGCGTAGATCAGCCGTGCATCAGGCATGGAGAGGGTGTGCATCAGGACGACGTTTTTCTGCATTAGCCTTCGAGTGGGTGTGTATTAGCGATCCGTTATCTCCCACACCACCAACATGGAGGGCGAACGTCACCTTCCTATTCACTCACCCAAGCAAACGCCAATCCATCCCGTCATCTTCTGTGGCTAGCCTCAGCATGGCTATCCAGCCAAATGAATTCCGTGTTCGTGGTTACTGCCACAGAAACACGCGTGTCCATGAGACCCAGCCTTGCTTCCCCCAAGCCAACAAAGTCCTCCATCCCCTTGTCATCTCGCACCATTCCCTCCATCCTCGATACCCACCAATACCCCCACCACATCATGACCATGTACAGCTGGATTCAGATGGTCACTCGCAAAGAGCGTGGTATCTCCATTTTCAAAGATGGAGACCGCCGCACGCCCGAGGGCCTCGATTTCGCTCGAGAGAAGACTCGTCTCCTCATCTCGGACATTCGCGCTCGCTTCTCCTCCGGCGACCAACTCCCTTTCGACCTCAGGTTCATAGAAACCCTTCGCTCTCTCCTCGACCATACCTCTGGTGAACTCGCCGATGGAGACTTGTTTCTGACCGAGGAACAGGTCATGGCCCTGCACAGCGCTGTCGTCACCCTCTATCGCGACGAACTTTCGGACGACGAAGACGATGTTTCTCGCTTCCTGCAGTACACCAAGAGCAGCATCGTCAATGGTGTTTCGCCCGGCAAACGACAGGAATCGGCAGCGACTCCCATCGGCTCCAGCTCTCGCTTGTTTGCACGTCGCTCGACCCCCCGTCGTCTGAAGAGAAAGTCACCTCCTCACCAGAGCCCCGAGCTCGCTACCGAGGATACCCGATCTTCGCCCAGTCCCCCTACTCAAGTTCGCCGCCGACTTCCCAGCCCTGAAGTCGCAGCAGAGGTCGTCATTGAAACCACGGAGCAGGCGAACACCCCGACCAATATCGAAGATCCGATGATGATGCTCAAGCGCAGGAACCTCGAGCTCCAAAACGAGCTCCTTCTCGAACGCATCGAAACGGAACGAGCCCTCCGCCAAGAAAGGATCGCTGCCATCAGACGTGGCGACGCCAGAACGTCCTCCCACTGACTTGTTCGCTGTCAGCTACAGCTGTGATCAATATATCGCACCTATTGACCCCTTGATTTGCTTCCTGTCCCTGACGAGTCCCTGAGTGGGGCGGAGGACGACCCTGATGTGACTTGCGCTGGATGGGGGGTTGTGATTTTCATACAAAAACCACAAGCATCTGCCACCGGCCCGCACCCCCCAACCCGATCCACCATGCCTCGCAAGCGCAAAGCCCAGTCGTCCGTTTCCGCCGAACCCACCAGCTCCAAGCGAGCCAAGGCCAATCCCACAGCTCCTGCCGCAGAGCCGCCCAAACCCACCGGCCCAGTGGTGACATGGTCGCCCACGCCCATGCCTGAGTTACCTGTCGAGATCATCCAGCTCATCTCGGACTTCATGCCTGCTGCCGCTGCTGCAAGATTCGCCAAGACCAGTCGCTACCACCATGCCGCCGTCAACGACGTCCACTACTGGGCCGTGCGTCTCCACAAGCATCCATCCAAGCCTGCCTTCACCGAGGAGCTGAAGACCTGCAAGAGCATCATGGCCTGGATCCACTGCCTCGATACCACTCTGTGTGTGGGGTGTCGTCGCATCAGGATTCCCAGAAACAGCTACCCTTGTATTCCCTACCCCATTTGCTACAACTGCACCTTTGACCACGATTCTTGCATTTATGGGTTGGTCTCGGTCAGTACCATGTACAAGCTCTACAAGATCAAGCCCGGAGACATGCCAACGGGATCGATCTGCATCAGCAAGAAGTGCAGATTCACCTTTGGCACCTATTACTTGCGCCCTCAGGTCATGGCCCGCGTCGCCGAGCTGCATGGGAGCTGGACCGCCTTCAAGGAGCGAGCCGTGGTCAAGAGATGCCAGAAGGGCCAGCATATCCTCGAGCGCAAGCAAAAGATCGCAGCCCTCCCCAAGAAGACGTACGAGTTCTCCAAGGACATGGTCGCCGCATTCCTCGCCAACGGCAGGGGCTGGCGTGAGCTCAAGAAGCGACTCGAGCGCGACTATGATTTCCTGGAGACGATGAAGTCGCGCAGCTACCCGTACACACCAGCCGAATATGCCCGCTATCGAGACGAGCACATCAAGACGCCCGAGGAGCTGCTTGTGTGGATCGATCGCCACGCAGCAGGCAAAGATGCCTTCAAGGACAGCATTGTGGCGATATTCCCGGCCATCGCTGAGCGAGTCGAGCAGGCAGTCGCTGCACTCCCCGAGCTCCAGCGAGACCATCGAGTATCGTGGCTCAATGATATCATCGTCCCGCTCATGGGCGTGAGTGTCCAGGACATTCGCAGCAAGTCAGAATACGACGACTTTGCCACGAGCAGCTACCAGGTCACTCCGGCATCCGCTGTTCAGAGCTTCCTGAGCATCGGACGACGAGGGCCAAGAAAGCAAATTCAGGTGGTTCGCTAGGAACCTGGTCAGATACCTTTACGAACGCCATCTCTGGAACGTCGCGGAGCACGACTTGTTGACGAAGCAGCAGGACCCATCCGAATTCGCCAGTCTCCTGACGATCAGCGATCTCAAGACGATGCTGCTGGAGCATGGACTTCGCCATCGCGGCATGAGCCGACGATCAGACAGCAAGCTCTGTGATCTCTACGCTCACGAACAAGAAGCAGATCCAGGCTCTTTGACGTGGTCCAGCGCATGTGCGAGATGCGGACGTTGTTCGAGGTGTATGATGCAAGCTATCGGGAGTATCGGGAAGCCAACGACCTTGACTGGAGAGAACCAGTCGAGTTTGAGGACCTCGAGCCGTTTGCTGTGAGGAGTTGCTCTGACGAGATCAATCGTGGCTACCCACTTGTCCACAATCGCAGGTGGTGATCTCGACATGGAGTGCGCATGTGCCACTCTCGGTTACCATCGAACACCACTTCATTCCCACCAGCCACCCACACACTCACACCATCCCTCTTCATCACTCTGGTGTTTGTGGATATGCAAATGACTCGGAAGAGACTCGGAAGAGACGTATCGAGTGGTCGGAAGAGACTCGGAAGAGGAATTTTTCATGGAGTGTGATAATATTATCATCTCAACACTGAAAACATGGAGAGAATACCACCGCGGAACTCACTCGGAAGTGATTTGGAAGTGAATATGGAGTGAGAAGCTCTTTTGGGGGCCGGTTGGGGGCATTGGAGAAGAAAAAACAAAAATTTTCAAGAAAAAAAAGATATTCCTGGCCGGGAAGGATTTGGGGCCCACGCTCGCATTCATGGAGTGGACTCGGAAGAGACTCGGAAGTGAAGCTCGCTCGATAAACATGGTGTGGGGCTGAAAACTCGTAAGAGACTCGGAAGTGAAACGTCGTCGCTTGTGAGCGGGTTGGAAGAGGATTGGAAGAAGGTGTGTGCACTCCATTCACTGCATGCATGCCTCGCGAATGAGCCTCTCGTAGCGAGACCCAAATAGCAGTGCCATTGCTCTGGGCCATGATCGAGCGCTTGAACAAGTCGATCAACATGGCTTGAACCTGGAGATCGTGCTTGGCTGCGGCGATGTCGTCCAGAGCAATAATATCACACCAGTTCTCGGGCGATCCCAGGGATGTTGTGCATAAGGGGAAATGTGCAGGATTTGCTGGTGTGCTATAGTGCTACCTGCTCGGCAACTCGTGAGCAAAATGTACTGGTAGAGATTCTTGCAGTTCATCGCTCGAGGGAAGCCGATCGAGTTTTTCATGCAATATAAAAATAGGACATTCCTGTCGCTTTCAGGGAGGCTGTGACCAGACGACTCCAACAACCAACGTCGGACGGACGATGCATGGGGCGCATTTCGGATCCCCCCATATTGGCAGATGTCGTAGATCTGCTGGGCGCTGTCGCGATAACCACCTCGAGCGCATTCGACCAGGAGATCCAAGGCTCTGGTCGGGTTGACATCAGTACCTCTGCCATATCGATAGCATTCGTGGAGGGCGAATTTGACCTTCAGTTGGATGTGTCCAACGACTTGAGCCACTGAAAGTACGCCCTGGTTGATCTCGAGCAATGGTCCTCTGATGAATACGGCATGTTCTTCGAGGAGGAAGTCGTCGAGCACCTCGGATTTGTTGCTCAAGACGGAAAGGCATTTGCTGACGATTTCGCCATTCCAGACCATGCGCTTGACAAACCACATTGCAGTGGGGACGTGCTTGGCCTCGAGGAGTCGTCGTACGATCTGGAACTCGGAGTTGTCTCGGCGGAAACGAGTGACGACTCGGACGAACTCGGCTGAAACCACGGATCTCGGAATGGACTTGAGCCACTTGAGGTTGAAGGCAACTGGTCCAGCAGGGAAATACTTGACCAGTTGGACGCAGTCATCGGAGAGGAGCCTGGTGTGGTGTTGCTTGTTGAACCACTCGGCCCAGATGCGAATCCCCACGGTCTTGGTCGAGAGCAGAGCCCTCACGTCGCTGGAAGTCGCCTTGAGCTTCACGAGACTACAAACAGGGAGCATCTCGATCAGCTCAGGGATCGAGAGGATGGCCAGGAGGACAGGATAGGTCTCTTCGATTCCCAAGGAGATCAGCTGCTCTTGGAGGCGTTGTCGCTTGGCGGCCCGGATGCTCATCGAGCGGGTGATGCGCTTGGTAGCCTGGGAGGGGGGCATGGTAGATCTGGTCATTGTCGATGGATGGATGGGGAGCATGGATGCTCCAGCAGCGACCTCATATACCCCATGCCCAGCGGTGCCTGGGAGACGGTGGTTCCCGCCGGACGGGGTGTCCAAGCCCAGCCCATATCTCCGCCGTCCCCTGCGAGGACGAGGTGTCATCTCCGGGTGCAGCGTTCTGCCCCTTCTCTCTCGCCATCTCACCAACCCCAGCTCCAGCTCCTACACGATTACAGCCTCGCCCGATGCCTGACACCAGCCACCTCGTCATCCCTATGGACTTTCGCTCACGCGACCTCTACAAAACCGCCATCGGCCCATCACCCGCGTCCAAATGGACCATGGTCGAATCCTCTTGGACGCAAGAGAAGCAGTCGCTCGTGCCAGGGGCGATCTCGAGTACTCTGGCTACGCCCGCCCCACCACCACCGGTCAAGAAGGTGTTCGCAGGATGATGATCGCCAATATCTGCACCAGAACGCTTCCTGGCATCCCTGTGGTCTACCTCAAGTTCAACGACAGCACCACGCCTCAGCTTCCCTTTGTTGATATGAATGGTCTCGCTGCGATCCGCCAGCGTATCGAGCCTGGCTTTCGATACCCAATGTGAGCTTCGAGGGGCAGATCAATACACCCGCATTTTCGCTTGTCCATGTCGTTCCGATTGGTGTGGCGTCAGCGGCGCGTGTCGCAATCTCCGACTCCGTTGGGTTCTGTCCGATGGGAGGTGCCTTAGCGACATCCGCCACCCCTGCCATTGATCTCGCATCCCAGCTTCAGCTCCAGCTCCAGCAATGCCTGCTTCCAGATCCAAGCGTCGTGCTCCTGCCCAACGCAAGAAACCAGCGCCTCTCCCGCCCAAGCACACCACGACCGAGAAGGAGGAGTGTCCTGTCATCGTCATCGACGACTCGGATGCAGAATCCGACATCACCTGCGACATCGATCCATCGGAGGTCGTCCCGGGAACGCCAGTGTCGCTCGCCGGTCTTGCAGTCGACGATATCGTGCCCGTCGAATTTGGCATCGATCCAGGCTCGACGACAAGCGTTGGAACCGCGAAGGGAGGAATCGCTGTAGCCAGGCCCCAGATGGTCGAGCAAAGCGTATGTGCTTTGACCTCTGTGCAGCAACCAGCTCCCAGGGCAATGAAGAATCGTCGCCAGGCGGTTCCGAAGCCCGCCGGTGCAACGATCTTTCGTGGGCATCCACTTCTCGAGCCCTATCCTCAAACCAATGCGGATGGAACGGTGAACCCGATCATCGTCTTGGATTCCTCTCAACGACAGCTTCAGTGTACACCCCTTGGCCGACTTCACAAGATCACCCTCGGGAATGGCCAAATATTCTGCGATGCTCGAGAGGTCATTGCACTATCCGACGACAAAATGTTCGATGGCTATGATCCCGATGGTATTGAGGATTATGCCTCTGTAGCCTCGTCGATTCGACGTAAATGGGCAGAGACCCTCCATTTCGTTCCTGCCGCGTATGTCAAGTTCAAAGGCTTGGCAAACCCCCTCCCCTTCGTGGACGATCGTGGGTATATTCAGATTTTGCGCTGTGGCAGAGGTGAAAGATGCAAGGCGCTGAAAGGGAAGTTCGATACGCTCATTGGCGAGGTTTTTGGGCGATCTCGCAAAGTGCTCGAGTACCTCCAGTCTGACGACCATGGAGATGACAACTGCGAGGACGAGGCTGCTATTTTTGTGACTGGAGTGAGGTCTCGCCAATAAAAATTCTCGTATTTCATGACTGACGCCTGTGAGAGTACTGAGTCGCGAACGAAAGTGCGTTGGGGAGCTCATGGGATGGCGATAGTGCAGCGCCAGTCATGTGTGTGGCGGTGCACAGGATCCAGCCAGTTTGTGGCTGGCACGCGGGGCTGCGCACAAATTCGAACCACTCAGGTTCCAGCCATACTGCCATCGGGCGACGGTGCGTCAACCCCGACCCCATGGGCGACATGTCCCGCAGCCTCCGTCCCCGACCCTGTTCAAAAGGGCGCACCCCCGCCCAAGGTGGTGCCCTGCCATCTTCGCCCCGCCGTTTCCTCCTTCACCAGCGATCACCAGCCTTCTCCTCTGCCTCGCCATGAGCTCCATTACCAAGACCACGCGAGCTGCCCCTGCTGCCGCCCCCCGAGCCAGGAAGAGGCGCGCTACTGCCCCAACCTTAGTCCAGCCCGTCAACGACTCGATCCCGTTCGATCCTCCCGTCGATGCCGAAATTCCCGTCATTGTTAGCCACGAAGTGTCTGATGAAGCTGCAGTCGCCGCCCCAGCTCGCCTCGAGCTTGAGCCCATCATCAACCCGAGTACTTCTCATCTTCCCGTCGCTGCCGAGGTGATTGAAACCACGAGTCTCGAAATGGATGATCCGATCTATACACCCGGCTTTGAACTAGCCGATTCTAGTGTCGCTGATCCAGTTCAAGTGCACCAACTCTCAAGAGTGCGCGCCCGAAGGATCAAGGCGATCCCAGAGGGAACCAAGGTCTTCAACGGACACCCGCTTCTAGATCCTTATCCCGACGACATGCTCCCCCTCCGTGATCCTGACAGCACACAGCCTTTTGAACCGGTCATTGTACTGGATTCGAGTGCTCGTATCCTCCAAGATTCCCCTCTCGGTGTAATCAGTACCGTGAAGCTCCGAGATGGTCGTTTGTTATCTGATGCTCGTGAGGCCATCGCATTGACTGATGATAAGCTTCATTTCAATGGCTATGCAGCAAATAGGACCAAAGAAGCCAAGAATGAAGCCCACTCCATTGCAGTCAAGTGGTCCAATACCCTCAAGACTATCCCAGCCGTTTTTGTCAAATTCAAAGGAGTCCGAAATGTTCTTCCATTCGTCGATGCTGATGGCTTGCTGGATATTGTGGATAAAGGGTTTGGATCTCTCTCCGAAGAAGAGAAAAAACGACAAAGAACTATAGTCAAAGCCGTTTACGGATCGGACAACCAAAAGATCGGTGACATTCGCAAAGAGATTGAGTTTGAGAATCGTCGTGGGGATGACGGTAATCAGAATCAGATCTTCGTCGAGTCTGTTGCGTTTCACCGTCGTCGCAAATAAACATACCATTTTCTTCGATGACATACTTGGTACTGATCCGTCCCAGGATCGATGGTGCAGCCTGGTACTGATCCGTCCGATGCTCGATGGTGCAGCCTGGTACTGATCCGTCCCAGGCTCGATGGTGCAGCCTGGTGCTGATCCGTCCCAGGCCCAATGGCGCAGCCTGGTGCTGATCCGTCCCAGGCTCGACGGTGCAGCCTGGTGCTGATCCGTCCCAGGCCCAATGGCGCAGCCTGGTGCTGATCCGTCCCAGGCCCAATGGCGCAGCCTGGTGCTGATCCGTCCCAGGCCCAATGGCGCAGCCTGGTACTGATCCGTCCCAGGCTCGACGGTGCAGCTGGTGCTGATCCGTCCCAGGCCCAATGGCGCAGCCTGGTACTGATCCGTCCCAGGCCCAATGGCGCAGCCTGGTGCTGATCCGTCCCAGGCCCAATGGCGCAGCCTGGTACTGATCCGTCACAGGCTCGACGGTGCAGCTGGTGCTGATCCGTCCCAGGCCCAATGGCGCAGCCTGGTACTGATCCGTCACAGGCTCGACGGTGCAGCTGGTGCTGATCCGTCCCAGGCCCAATGGCGCAGCCTGGTGCTGATCCGTCCCAGGCCCAATGGCGCAGCCTGGTGCTGATCCGTCCCAGGCCCAATGGCGCAGCCTGGTACTGATCCGTCACAGGCTCGACGGTGCAGCTGGTGCTGATCCGTCCCAGGCTCGACGGTGCAGCCTGGTACTGATCCGTCCGATGCTCGATGGTGCTGATCCGTCCCAGGCCCAATGGCGCAGCCTGGTACTGATCCGTCACAGGCTCGACGGTGCAGCTGGTGCTGATCCGTCCCAGGCCCAATGGCGCAGCCTGGTACTGATCCGTCACAGGCTCGACGGTGCAGCTGGTGCTGATCCGTCCCAGGCTCGACGATGCAGCCTGGTACTGATCCGTCCGATGCTCGATGGTGCAGCCTGGTACTGATCCGTCCCAGGCCCAATGGCGCAGCCTGGTACTGATCCGTCACAGGCTCGACGGTGCAGCTGGTGCTGATCCGTCCCAGGCCCAATGGCGCAGCCTGGTACTGATCCGTCACAGGCTCGACGGTGCAGCTGGTGCTGATCCGTCCCAGGCCCAATGGCGCAGCCTGGTACTGATCCGTCCCAGGCCCAATGGCGCAGCCTGGTGCTGATCCGTCCCAGGCCCAATGGCGCAGCCTGGTACTGATCCGTCCCAGGCTCGACGGTGCAGCTGGTGCTGATCCGTCCCAGGCCCAATGGCGCAGCCTGGTACTGATCCGTCCCAGGCCCAATGGCGCAGCCTGGTACTGATCCGTCACAGGCTCGACGGTGCAGCTGGTGCTGATCCGTCCCAGGCCCAATGGCGCAGCCTGGTACTGATCCGTCACAGGCTCGACGGTGCAGCTGGTGCTGATCCGTCCCAGGCCCAATGGCGCAGCCTGGTACTGATCCGTCCCAGGCCCAATGGCGCAGCCTGGTACTGATCCGTCACAGGCTCGACGGTGCAGCTGGTGCTGATCCGTCCCAGGCCCAATGGCGCAGCCTGGTACTGATCCGTCACAGGCTCGACGGTGCAGCTGGTGCTGATCCGTCCCAGGCCCAATGGCGCAGCCTGGTGCTGATCCGTCCCAGGCCCAATGGCGCAGCCTGGTGCTGATCCGTCCCAGGCCCAATGGCGCAGCCTGGTACTGATCCGTCCCAGGCTCGACGGTGCAGCTGGTGCTGATCCGTCCCAGGCCCAATGGCGCAGCCTGGTACTGATCCGTCCCAGGCCCAATGGCGCAGCCTGGTACTGATCCGTCCCAGGCTCGACGGTGCAGCTGGTGCTGATCCGTCCCAGGCCCAATGGCGCAGCCTGGTACTGATCCGTCCCAGGCCCAATGGCGCAGCCTGGTACTGATCCGTCACAGGCTCGACGGTGCAGCTGGTGCTGATCCGTCACAGGCTCGACGGTGCAGCCTGGTACTGATCCGTCCGATGCTCGATGGTGCTGATCCGTCCCAGGCCCAATGGCGCAGCCTGGTACTGATCCGTCACAGGCTCGACGGTGCAGCTGGTGCTGATCCGTCCCAGGCCCAATGGCGCAGCCTGGTACTGATCCGTCACAGGCTCGACGGTGCAGCTGGTGCTGATCCGTCCCAGGCTCGACGGTGCAGCCTGGTACTGATCCGTCCGATGCTCGATGGTGCAGCCTGGTACTGATCCGTCCCAGGCCCAATGGCGCAGCCTGGTACTGATCCGTCACAGGCTCGACGGTGCAGCTGGTGCTGATCCGTCCCAGGCTCGACGGTGCAGCCTGGTACTGATCCGTCCCAGGCTCGATGGATCATCTTTATTTTCAATCGCGATGGGATATCAGCTCACAAAGCAAGTCTGTCGGAGTACATACGCTTGAACACTCTCCAAGTTGCAATCTCACCCTTCTCGAAAACAAAAAGCTTCATTATAACAATAATGAAGATGTGCAACTCCCTGTAGTAAGCGTACTCATTCAAAGATCCATTTTCCACAACCTGTTTCCACATCTCAATCGAAGATCCCGTCTGAACACTAGTTGTCGCAATCTCACCAAACCACAACATCACCATGTTACCGATGCTTCGGTTTATGCGTGCCTTGAAGGTTTCAGGTTCAATGGTGTCGAAGTAATCCTTCAATTCGGCGTCGGAGTCGATGAGCTGGCGAACCGTCTTGAAGTTGGCGGGGTTGGGATCCACGGGCTCGGCAAAGGCGGCCTTGAGGGCGGCCACATCGAGCTTCTGGAAGGACCAGCGCTCATCAGGAAGCTCCTCGATCACAGGAGCAGCAGGCTTGGGTTGAGTGTCCGCGACAGGTGGACTTTGTCCATTGACGAGAACAAGGATACTCTGAGCCAAAAATTGGATCGTCTCGTGATTGCCGTTGCTGGCTCGACCCAAAGACTCCAGGGTTTTCATCGCAAGCAACTTCTGCCGGCCCTCCCAGAATTGCTCATGAAGCAAACTCTTCTCATCCGATGGGATGGCCGAGACCAAAACAGGGACGATATACGAATCGTCTTCGGCCCGATCTTGGACGTCGCGCTTTCTCTTCAAGGATATGGATGTATCCTCGCTCGACACGGCGGTCGGGGTGACTGCGGGTTCTGTGTGATATGCGGGGTGGTGTGAGTCAATCGCCGTCAAAACGCAATGGGTAAGGGTGGATCCTCGGTGGATGGCTACAAATCCAGCATACTCACCAGCAGTAATTGCAACGTCCTCCATTTCAAGTTCGCCTTGGTCGACAACGATCGTGTCTTCGTCGAGCTCGAACTGGTTCTCATCGGCGGATCCACTGTAAAAGACAGTGCTACCGACCTCGGATGGGAGCCCGATGCCAGGGAGATGCTCCTCGACAGGAGCATCGTGGACCGGCTGGACTGGAGCATCGACAGGAGCATTGTGGACCGGCTGGACTGGAGCATCGACAGGAGCATCGTGGACCTGCTGGACTGGAGCATCGACAGGAGCATCGTGGACCGGCTGGACTGGAGCATCGACAGGAGCATCGTCGACCGGCTGGACTGGAGCATCGGTGAGATCGTCCATGATGCTGTCCTCGCAGGGATCGGATTCGAACTCGGAGTCAGACTTGGAATTGAGATCGGAATCCAACATGAAGTCGGAGTCGTTATCGGCCTCGGACTTCACCTTGAACTCGGAAACGGTGTTGGAATCGGCATCGGCATCGGCATCGGCATCGGCATCGGCATCGGCATCGGCATCGGCATCGGCATCGGCATCGGACTCGGTGAGGTCGATCAAAACCACAGAAGCGCGAGACTGGGGCTCCGCGCGAGCCACTGGGGTCGCTGGAGTAGCGGGAGCCGTTGGGGGAGCATGCGCTGTCATAGTCGCTGGGTCAGTAGGAGCCTTAGGAGCCGCCGGGGTCGCTGGAGTAGCAGGAGCCGTAGGGGGCGCGCGAGCCGTCGCGAAACCCAAAGGAGCTGCAGAGGCAGTTGGGATCGTAAGAGCCACGGGAAACGTCGTGACCGTAGGAGCAGTAGGAGCCGCTGAGGCAGTTGGGATCGTAAGAGCCACGGGAAACGTCGTGGGTGCAGCAGTCCAGAGGCCATGCTGGGGATTAGGGCGAATGAACCAAAAACCATCCACAGTGTCCATCGTTCTCATGATGGTAAAGTTGGAATCAACAACAAGACCCAAGTACATGGAGAATGGCATGAAAACGGGATAATGGTGCGATGGATGAATCAGGATACGGGGGATAGGGACATCCTTAGAAGCTGAGATGCGTTTGCCCTCGAATGCGTTGAATCTCGCACGGGGGGTGATGATGCGATAATCACTCATGGAGTGCTGAAGGAAGAATGGGGCGATGCGGCCGCATTCGGTGGCATCAAAGGGGCAGACGAGAGTGGCATACACATGGCAAACGGCGATCAACTCAGAGTCGTCACCAAAGAGATCAAGATGATGGCAGATATCCTTCTGGAAAATGGCGCGGGTGTAATACTCCTCGTTCTTCTTGATCAAGCCGCGGATAGTTCCACTGAGCCCGACCAATTCGGGGAATATGCGCACCACGGTGGACTCGTACTTGAGGAAGCACTCCAAAAGGAAGAAGATGTAGCGACGAGCGAGGATGATGTGCTCGGTGCACCAGACAAACCCGGTGAGGACAGGATGGCCGGTGCGGTTCTCTTGGTCACGGCGATTGATGTAAGGGTTGATCATTTCGTATGTGATGTTCCAGTGATCCTGTTGATTGATCGTCCTACGAACTGGGACGCCGAATGGGGCCTTATTGGGCCAGACAGCCAGAGGATTGAGCTGGCCGTCCTTGGGGGGGAAGGGTGCGAGGACAGTGCTCTTGGGGATGAAGAACATTGGGAGGGTAGATCAGAGGACAGAAGGGAAGACTGCGAGGGCGAGCGAAGCGCTCCCGGTGGCAGCGGGCTTTATGAGGGGGGGTATGGGCTGCTGGTGTCGACGGGGGGAGACATGTCGCGCCGAGGCCAACCTCCGCCCGGTGCGAAATGCTGGACCCTGTCCTCTGGCATGCGCAGCAGGCTCTTTCGCCTTTCCGCCGCCCAATGCATGTGATGCCAGGCCAGTCGTATACGTCCCCCCGTCGCTCCGCGCTCTCGGTACCACCCATGGCCCAGAAGATTCGGAAGAGACTCGGAAGAGACGTATCGAGTGGTCGGAAGAGACTCGGAAGAGGAATTTTTCATGGAGTGTGTTATTATTATCATCTCACACTGAAAACATGGAGAGAATACCACCGCGGAACTCACTCGGAAGTGATTTGGAAGTGAATATGGAGTGAGAAGCTCTTTTGGGGGGCGGTTGGGGCATTGGAGAAGAAAAACAAAAATTTCCAAGAAAATAAAAGATATTCCTGGCCGGGAAGGATTTGGGGCCCACGCTCGCATTCATGGAGTGGACTCGGAAGAGACTCGGAAGTGAAGCTCGCTCGATAAACATGGTGTGGGGCTGAAAACTCGTAAGAGACTCGGAAGTGAAACGTCGTCGCTTGTGAGCGGGTTGGAAGAGGATTGGAAGAAGGTGTGTGCACCCTCGACATGGGGGTTTCCTTCGATTTCCTGCCCGACCCTCCCGCTGCCCAGCCTCTAATGTGCTGTGTGAGCAGCCAGGAAGGATGCACCTCTCCCAACCTGCCCATACCCAGCGCCGAGCCAGGATATGGAGTGGGATCACGGTCATGTAGTGCGCAAGTGCCACTACCCGTTTCCACCGAGGATCACGGGCCCTCCATGCCACCACTCCATCACTCATTGCCACGGCACATATGCCCTGTAACAGGACTGGGGACTGGACGAGAGCGGACGGACTGGAGTGAGCGGGTAACGACTGGTTTACTAGGCGAAGGACGGTGTTGTCGTCTCGCCGGTTTATTTTCGGCGGGCGACGCCTTGCATTTACATCCCTGGGGGGTAGCGGACCGGCTTGCCTGCGCTCCTTGGCGCGGGCTAAGCCCCCTCGGGATGCCTTCCGGGTCGTCCCGGAGCTCCCTGTCCGCGTGCCCATTACATCACCCTCTTCCTAAGCCCCCTTCCTATGTCTGGGGTGTCTTGCGGACTTGGTCTTGGTCGGCGTTCGAGGCTTCAAGGGGTACCGTTGATGGAATTCTTGGACTACTTGAGGTGCGCTCCTGCAATTCTCTTCGGATTCCCACGAGTCTTCGTCTGGTCCGTAGCCCCTCCATCGGATCAGGTATTCCAACTTATTACCCCTTACCCTTGAGTCCAGTATCTCCTGCACCTCATATTCTTCGTGGCCGTCAATTTCGATCGGCGGTGGAGGAGGTGCCTGTCGTCCTGGGAGCTCATTGGGCTTGACCGGTTCCAGCAGAGACGCATGGAACACCGGATGGATCCGGGCCATCGACTTCGGCAGCTTGAGTTCGAAGGCCACCTCGTTGATCGCCCTAACGACTTCGAAGGGTCCAAGGCGCTTCCAATCCAGCTTGTCGCTTGGGCGCTGCGTCCTTATGTTGCGACGAGACAACCAGACCTTGGATCCGACGGCAATGTCAAAAGACTTACGGTGCCTGTCGGCGTTGGCCTTCTGTCTGGACTGTGCGTCCGCGAGGTGAGTCTTGAGTTGTTCGAGGTGCTGCTTGATTTTTTCGATGCGCTCCTCGGCTGCAGGCACCTCGGACTGGGTCGACAGCTTGAAGTCACAGGCAGGGTGGTGTAGGAGATGGTATCTCCGACGCTGTGCTGCGCGTACTGCGCGTACTGCGCGGCGCAGTGGGTCGTGACCTGTGCTGCGCTTTGCGTTTTCACGCACCGCAGGCAGGCCACCGCAGGGTATACCTGCGGGTTGCCCCCGTTCCCCCCGTTTGTCTGGAGTTCGGTTTTATCGTGAATAAACGTAAGTGCTCCCCGAGCTCACCCGTCCGCTAGAGTAGCCTAGCACCGCCCTGTTCTGCCCCGTCCTGTCTTGTCTTGTACCCCCTCCCTCCCCGTCTTGCCCCAACGTCCCAGTAGTGGACGTTACATGGTAGCATCGGAAATCCTCGTCTTGTTTTCGTCCTGTTTGTCCTCTTTCTAGATCCTCAAGCTGGATCCCGCCTCTCTTGCCGACCGACTCTCCTCTCTGTCCCTGGAGCCTGCCCCTGCCATGAGCAACCCCCGCCCACTTCCGGAAGCCTTCCTCAAGACCTTCCGTGCCCCAGTGTTTACTGGGAAGAGCCGCTCCTCCTCGGTGGAGGACTGGCTGCAGCAACTCGAGGACTACCTCGATGCTGCCCAAGTCGCCCCCACCCACCACATCGTCGCCGCCAAGCTCTGCTTAAAGGACCAGGCGTACCGTTGGTACCGCCGCCAAGGGTTCGACGAGCAGAGCGAAGGTGTGTTTGACGACTTCAAGGACCGCCTCCGTCGCCGCTTCGGCAGCCCCAATGCTGAACTCATTGCCCGTGACAAGCTATACTCTCTCGTGCAGCGTGGTTCTGTGACCCGCTACATCGAGGAGTTTGAAGACCTCTCCTCCCAGATTGAGGAGCTGGGCTCTGCTGATGCGATGTACCTCTTCCAGAAGGGCCTCAAGCCCAAGATCAGAGAGTACATCGCCAGCAACCCTGATGCCCGCAAGTCCCTGGACGTGATGATGGACGTTGCCGAGAACCTCGACAACGTCCAGTACCATGGCCGCCAGTTCTACCCGCAGCTGGCAGGCGGCCATCGGTCTCATCACGTCCCAGCCCGTCCGCCTCGCCCGGCCCCGCCCGCAAGACCCATGCCTGAGCCCATGGACGTTGACGTCAACGCCATGGAGGCTCGTGGCCCTCCCCGCTCCCGGTTCCAGCAAGCTGCCACTGTCTCCCCCAAGGACAGACAGAAGCAGGAGGACCTCCGCCATGGTTCCTGCTTCTTCTGTCACCGACCGGGACACCAGGCCAAGGAGTGCCCCATGAAGTCGGGAAACGGCCGACCCTACTAGGTGGCTCTGGAGCCCTAGTAGGAGACCAACGCCGTGGATTGCTCAATGCAGTCCACGCGTCTCCAGAGGAAGTTCACCTCGCCCCCTCCCCCGAAGGAGAAACAAACCAAGTGTTGTGCGTCGTGCGAGAGGTGCATGGTGGCGCAAGCCGCCTGCCTCTCCACGAACGTGAAGAGAAAACCAAAATTGAAAACCAAAACAAAAAAGAAAATCAAGAACCCTTGAGGGACAGGACCGCCTGTGCCCTCACCCCTGTCAAGTCGTGTGTGTCGGATGCTTCCGACATGTGTCCGCAAGCCGTGGACGTCGTGTGCAATGGCGTGCTGACGCCGCAGGCCCCCGCAATGGCCGAACCCTATCCAAAATGTCCGAGTGGCCGTGATGAAGCCAACCAAGACCAAGTGTCGCCCGTTCCCCCAAGTCAAGTCATGGTGCAGGAGGCTGTGCAGGAGGACCATGAAGAGTCCCTGCTGTACCTCCCTGCCACCGTCCAAGGTCACACCGTCCGAATGATGGTGGACTCTGGAGCAAGCTGCAACTTTGTCAGCAGACGCTTGCTCCAGGAGCTCAACATACATGCAACCAAGAAGAAGTCGCCGATGAGTGTGGCGCTTGCAGACGATCGTGTGCAGCAGTGCACACACCAAGTGGTCCTGCGAGTGGCCCTCCATCCCAAGTACCATCCTGTCCTGTTGTTCCAAGTGATCGACACCAAGTTCGATGCCATCCTCGGCATGAGCTGGCTTGCTCGTGCCGAGCCGACTCCAGTCGTCGACTGGAAAGGCCGCACTGTCCGTGTTGGCCCTGACATTGTCCTGCAGGGCATGGCCTCACCCAACATGCCACCTCTCCTCTCAGCCATGCAATTCAAGAGGCTGATCAAGAAGGACACGTCGTTCCTCTGTGTCGTGCGTGAGGTCGACGACACCGACCAAGCCGGTCCCGGTCCCCCGCCTGTGGTGACCAAGCTGCTCGACGAGTACAAGGACGTATTCCCCGACCAGTTGCCACAATGCCTGCCACCCCAACGCACCGTCGATCATCGCATCGACATCGAACCAGGCTCGTCGCCTCCGTCAAGACCGACGTACCAACTGTCGCTGACGGAGATGGACGAACTCAAGCGCCAGTTGGATGACCTCCTCGCCCATGGGTTCATCCGCCCGAGCCAGTCACCGTATGGTGCACCAGTGCTCTTTGTCAAGAAGAAAGAAGGTGATCTCAGGATGTGCGTCGACTATCGCGCACTAAACAAACAGACCATCAAGAACACCTACCCGTTGCCCAGGATCGACGAGTTGATGGATCGTCTGAGTGGAGCAAAGGTCTTTAGCAAGATAGACCTCCGCTCAGGCTACCATCAGATCCGCATCCACGAGGATGATGTCCACAAGACCGCCTTCAGGACTCGCTACGGACTGTACGAGTTCCTAGTGCTGCCGTTCGGATTGACGAACGCACCTGCCACGTTCATGCAGCTGATGAACGATGTGTTCCGCCAAGAGCTCGACAACTCTGTCATCGTGTACCTGGATGATATCCTTGTGTACAGCAAGGATGAAGCGACCCATGAAGGTCATGTCGCCCGCGTGCTGGCCAAGCTACGCGAGCACAAGTTGTATGCCAAACTGTCCAAGTGTGAGTTCTTCAAGAATCAAGTCCCGTTCCTGGGACACGTTGTCTCAGGAAGAGGAATCGAAGTCGACCCCGCCAAGGTCAAGTCTGTGGTCGAGTGGCCGCCGCTCGCATGCGTCTCTGACGTGCAGTCGTTTCTCGGTCTCGTCAACTACTACCGCCGATTCATCCCCGATCTGGCGCGCACTGCCGGTCCACTCACAGACCTACTCCGCAAAGAGTGCCCCTTCGTGTGGGACCACCCACAACGCCAAGCGTTCGAGACCCTCAAGCACGCCTTGACGAACGCTCCTGTCCTCGCTGTGTTCGACCCGAACACGGATGTCTCCGTGCACACCGACGCCTCCGACTTTGCGGTGGGAGCTGTTTTGATGCAGGAGGGAAGGCCCGTTGCCTTCGAGTCGCGCAAACTGTCCCAACACGAGATCAACTATCCCGTGCACGAGAAGGAGCAGCTTGCGATCATCTACGCGCTGCAGAAGTTCCGAGTGTACCTCCACGGTACCGCCAAGCCCTTCAAGATTGTGACGGACCACCAGTCACTGCGTTACCTCGACACCAAGAAGAACCTGAGCCGACGCCAAGCGCGATGGATGGAGTTCCTCGCCGAGTACAACTACGAGGTTGTATACCAGAAAGGCAAACTCAATGTGGTGCCTGACGCACTGTCCCGACGCCCCGACTACCAATTGGCGTCACTGTACGAGTCGACTGTCAGTGTCGACAACACGATGCTGGATGTTGTCCGAGACAACATCGCCAACGACAAACAGTTCGGAGAACTGTTCCGAAAGGTGTCTAAGCTCCCCAAGGACGACGAATCATCCGAGTACACAGTGCGTGATGGCCTGCTCCTCCTGAAGAAGGACAGCCGTGTCTGTGTGCCGGACATTCCGTCGTTGAAGACCAAGTTGCTCCAAGAGGTCCACGACTCGCCCCTCGCTGGACACTTTGGAGTCGAGAAGACATACGACCGACTGGCCAAAGTCGCATACTGGCCTGGAATGAAGCGCACCGTCGAGAAGTACATCGAGTCCTGCCATACCTGCAAGATGGTCAAGTCACGCACGACCCGAGAGCAAGGATTGCTGCAACCCCTGCCTGTTCCCGACCGCCCCTGGACCAGCATGTCCATGGATCTCATCACGCATCTACCGACGACCAAGTTGGACCACGATGCAATCGCTGTCTTTGTCGACAGGTTCAGCAAGATGGCACACTTTGTGCCGTGCCAGACGACATGCTCCGCGCCTGACCTTGCACTGCTGTTCTTCAAGCATGTGTTCAAGCACCACGGCCTCCCAAAGTCCATCGTCAGTGATCGAGACCCCCGATTCACCTCCTTGTTTTGGACAAGTCTGTTCGACCATCTCGGCACCAAGCTGAACATGTCAACCTCGCACCACCAACAAACGGATGGACAGTCCGAGCGGACGATCCGCACCCTCGAGCAATACCTGAGGACATACGCCTCGACCAGCCAAGACGACTGGGACATACAGCTGAGTCATGCAGAGTTTGCATACAACACCGCCAAGTCGAGCACAACTGGCTTGAGCCCCTTTGAGGCGCTCTACGGATTCCAGCCTGATGTTCCCACCTCCTTGACACTGACCGAGTCCACGGCTGGATTGCCTCCCAAACCAAGTGC